CAATTTAAGATAGCAATGCCATGGCCGCAATGATTTAGTGATGGAGGGAGACCACAATGAGCAAAAAATGGAAAATGTGCTGGATAATTATTTACCTAGAGAGGCTACAGAGTATTTCTAGACCAGTTTTGAGAAGGTAGCTTCAAATTCCACGGACTAGTTCGAAGAGTGCTAATTTCAAACAATTAACGATTGAAAAAAAAGTATGCACATTTTTAATAGACTTGTAATGACCAAAGTGTTTGGAGCACTGCACTGCATGAGGTCATCTAAGTTATTTGACCAAAAATGACAATCTGTACAAGATATACTTGATTTTCTGTAATAGCGCCCCCCAGTGGCCAAATGTTTTGAAACTTCACAGGTTGTTAGAAGGTGGTGAGATAGAGATAGCTGTCAAGTATCATGAGGATTGGCCAAGGCTAAGCCTGTCAAATGGCTGCTGAAAGCTTATTGGCCGATGGCGGCCATAAATTTCAATATATCAAAGTGTCCTTAAAGAATCACTTAAAGTCTTACTAGTAGATGATACTTGCAAAGTTTCAACTTGATCGGATGTACAGATGCTGAGAAACAGCTATTAAGGCACATTAAGCATTTACAGCGCCCCCTAATGCCCAATGTGCACAAAAATGGATAGGCTACCTCAGAGTCTCTTTAGGAACAAGCCTGTCAAGTTTCAAATTTTTTGGGTGAAGGATTTTTGAGTTACAGATTTTTCAATTAAATAAGAATTATTTAGATTTTTCCAGAAGGATTAATTTGCATATGGCAGCCATTTTGGTGACAAAATTGAAAATGTGCTGGATAATCATTGAGTCTTAGCCTATCCTGAATTTTTTGACACTCAAACTTGCGTGCTTGGACCCTTGACACTCAAATTTGCGTGCTTGGACCCTAATAAGAAAAACTCTAACAAAAACAATAGGGTCCTACGCACTTGCGTGCTTGGACCCTAATAAGAAAAACTCTAACTCTAAAAAAGGCCTCAAGCTGTGGGTCTTATTCATAAGCAGAGTGAATAGAACTGAAAGGAACTCAGTTCATCAAAAGATCTTAAGTTGCCTTAAACAATGAGTAGAGGTCTTTAAACACATTATGGGTTTACATTCATATGTACTGATCTACACCAGTTTGTAGAACATCCAAGAGGTCGTCAACATAGATGTCAAAACTACATGTCTAATGGCAGCATTTCTCACATAGTAGCACTTGCACACTGGATTGGTTCTATATTTACCCTTTGATTTGATGTAGGCCACAGTGAGGCCTAATGCACTCATAAGGCGCAGTAATGGTGTGAGGAGCTCAGTGAAAGTGGGTCAGAATTTGTCAGAAGGTTTCAATATGGTAAGATTATTGATCAGGGACCATATACGAGGCTGTAAACTAAGTTTTGAGTAGACTGACCTTTTGACCTTTGTATAATAAGTCTTTGTATAATGTAGACTCTGAATGAATAAACCAAAATAAAAGACAAGCAGTACAAATTTTCAAATAACATGTAATTAGAAAGTTGTTCAGGTCACTGAACTGAGTCAAATGGCCCCAATTATTTGTCTGCAGACCTTGTAATAACATTGTAATAGCATTTTAATTGATTTTCAAGTGTTTTTGAGTGCTGAAGCGCCCCCTAAAGGCCAATCTGGACCAAACTTGGCATCCTCCATTATAGTCTTCAGTTGCACAAATCAACCAAGAATGGACATGATCTGACCAATGGCTGTTGAGTTATAGCAAATCAAGCTAGCAATGCCATGGTTGCAGTAGTTAATTGATTAATTTTCAATACACTCAGTAGAAAAGTCAAAATGTTTTTGATAATTATTGAGGATCAGTGTCTTCTGAATCTTAAGATACTAACTTGATGATAAGTGGCAAAACATCCTGAGACTAGTTCACAAGAATAGGTTTTTCACATTATGCAAATTAGCTCAAAAACTAAGGGGCTGGGGCAAAAAGTGTCTGAGATGCACTTGTTCAGTACATCCCAAGGAATCAGCAGAAAAAGGAATTTTGTCTCTGTCTCACTCTGATCAAAAGTTACAGGCAAAAATATGAGTAAAGTTGAGAAAGATGAAAAGTTGAAACATAGGGCTAAAGTAAAGTATGAGTTCAGTGAAAGTGGGTCAGAATTAGTGAAAAGGCCACAATATGGTATGATTCTTGATCAGGGACCATATCCAAAGATGTTTACCAAGTTTTGGTCAGATTGACCTTTTGACCTTTGTATAATAAGCCTTCGTATAATGTAGTCTTCGAATGAATAAGCCAAAATACCAGACAAACAGTACAATTTGTGACAGAACATGTACTTAGAAAGTTGTTCAGGTGAGTGACCTGAGTCGTATGGCACCATTTGTTTATCTGTCGACCTTGTAATAACATTGTAATAGCATTTTAATTGATTTTTAAGTGTTTTTGAGTGCTAAAGCGCCCCCTAAAGGCCAATCTGGACCAAAATTGGCAAACACCATTAGAGTCCAAATATGTAAAGGTCCTTAAAGGTTGGACATGATCTGACCAATGACTGTTAAGTTATAGCTAATCAAGCTAACAATGCCACGGTGACTGTAATTAATTGATTGATCCACACGACCCTGAGTAGAAAAGTCAATATGTTTTTGATAATTATTTACCTAGAGATGCCAAAGAATTGTTCTACACCAAGTTCGAAAAGATTGGATCAAACTCCAGGGACTAGTTCGAAAAGTAGGCTTTTTAAACAGTTACCGATTACAAAAAACTATGCAGTTTTGTAAAAATATGCATTGGCAAAATTGTTTGGAATAACATACTTAATATGATACACAAGGATTTTCAAGTTAACTTGTAATAAAAGAGTAATAATATGTAATAATATGTTAATTTTTATGAATTGCGCCCCCCAGTGGCCAAATCTTTTGAAACTTGGTTGGTTGTTAGAAAGTGGCTAAATGTAGAGATCATTTAAGTTTCATGGTGATTGGTCAATGTTAAGCCTGTCAAAAGCCTGCTAAATGCTGATTGGCCGATGGCAACCATATACTTCAATGAATCAAATTGTCCTTATGGATTCACTTATAGTCTGGCCAACAGATGGTATCTGCAAAGTTTCAGCTAGATCGGATGTACAGATGCTGAGAAACAGCCATGTAGCATTAACTCCGCCCCCTAATTACATATGCGCACAAAAATCGAATGGCTACCTCAGAATGGGCTATTAACATGGCCTGTCAAGTTTGAAATTTTTTGGCTGAAGGATTCTTGAGTTACAGATTTTTCAATTAATTCTGAATTATTTTGAATTTATCCAGAAGGGTTCATTTGCATATGGCAGCCATGTTGTTTAGAAAAGTCTAAATGTTTTTGATAATTATTGACCTTCAGGCTCTTCTGAATTTTTTGACACCAACTACATGGGGATCGGGCAAAAATTGTAGGACGAGTTCGCAAAAGTAGGTTTCGCATATTATGCAAATTAGCTCAAAATCTAAGTGGGCGGAGCTAAATGGTCCCAATGGCAAAGTTGTTTGTTTGGACCCAAGAAACCAGGAAAAAAATATGTCTTGTCTAGGAAAAATCTTTTTTTAGGAGTTATAGGCCAAAACGCGTTGACCTGCGCAATAGTGGCCCCTTGTGGCCGACTGGGCTGATTCCTTGTGCCTGAGTAGCGGGAGGGACTACTACCTATTGACCAAGTTTCAAGTCTCTAGGACTTACGGTTTGGGCTGTGCTTTCCGTTTTAGGGAAGAAAAATAATAAGAAGAAAAACCCTGACAATTCCAATAGGGTTCAATGCATTGCATGCTTGAACCCTAATAAGAAGAAGAAGAAAAATCCAAGCAAAAACAATAGGGTTCTACGCACTGCATGCTTGAACCCTAAAAATCCTCACAATTCCAATAGGGTTCAATGCATTGCATGCTTAAACCCTAATAAACATACTGTTTAATTCAGTGTATGTAACTGTTTTGCTGAGCGCTGTTCATTTTACAAAATATTTTACACATTCTTTTTATTTTCCGGATGTATGTAAGCACGAAAGAACACAGGAATGAGAGTCTATGTGACAGAGAGTGAACTGCACACATCCTTATATGTGGAAAACTCATTCTCATGTATTTATAATTCTGATTCTTATTTTGATTCCGATTCTGATTTTAATCTCGATTTCATTTCTGATTGATTTGAAAAAAATGTACATTCAGATTTTAATAAGAGTTATACTCCGATTCCAAATCAATTCAATTCCTATTTTAATTCACATTCTGATTTTGATTCCAAATCCATTTTTTTATTTTAATTATGACTTTGATTTAATTTCTTTATTAGTTTTATTCAAATTTTAATTTCAGTTCTGATTTAGATTCTCACTGTAGTTTTGATTTGGACTTTCTGATTCCAATTAAAATTTAGGGTTTAATTCTGATTTCAATCCAATCTGAATTCTTATTTTGATTAAAATTTCGACTGAGATTCTGATTCCAATTTCATTTCTAATTCTGAATCCGATTTAGATTCTGATCCTGATTCCAATTTCGATTCTGATTTCAATCTCAATTTCATTTCTAATTTTCTGATGTTTCTTCAGATTTAGATTCTAATACCAACTTAGAGTACTGTTCTGATTTTAATCCAATTTCAATTCTTATTTTGATTCACATCCAAATTTTCATTCCAAATTTGATTCTGAATCCAATTCAGTTTTCTGATTTTGATTATGATTTTGATTCAATATCAGAGTTTTATTCAGATTCCAACTTCTGTTCCAATTTTAATTCTCACTGTGGTTTTGACCCCAATTCAAAATTAGGGTCTAATTTAGATAACAATCCAACTTGAATTCTTATTTTGATTCAGATTTCGATTGAGATTCTGAATCCAATTTCATTTCTGATTTTGAATCCGATTTAGATTCTGATCCTGATTCCAGTTCCAGCAGAGATTTTGATTTCAATTCTGATTCCGATTTCTGTTCTGATTCTGAGTTTGTAGTGTGAGCAGAGTGGTGGGCGTACCTTGCTGGATTTGTGGTCTACGTTGAATGTGACAATGTTGTCATCGCTGGGCGTGCGTCCCTCATGCAGTACGATGTGTTCAGCGAGCCGCTGGGCCAGGTGTGTTTTACCTGTTCCACTTGGGCCTGACAGGATGAGGCGCCGGTGCTCCTGCAGCAGAGACACGTACCGCTGCAGAACCGGCCGAGGGATCAACGTCTCAAACACCAGAGCGTCTACACACTGAGAGCGCACACCTGGACAATACACATAAAGCAAAAGAAAGCGTGGGGTGGGTAGGGGGGCTGTGGGGCTGTGATTATTCACCAAACTATGACTTTAAAATCAAGAACACACTGATATAGGCCCTTTTCGTTACCTCTCAGAGAGATGTTGATTGTGTCGTTCTCTCCCACCAGGTAGCCACAGGGAAGTAGTTCCGGCGTGTCTGCTCCGCTGGGTCTCAGCACATCCCCGATGCGATAACCCTCCACACTGTCTGAGCCTAGTCCCAGCTGACTGACCGGATCTACGTGCCTGATGTACTCCTACAGTCAGGAGGATGAAGGAGTACAGGTGAAACATCGTGCTAAAAGGTTCTCACTTACTTTAATTCAGCGATAGCCACATTAGCATGTCTGGGTAAAGTATTACTATGACTAATTAGCTTTTAACAGTTACAACAGCCCAGCTGTCATACCTGTTTATATCATTGCTATCTCTGAAACAGTAACTGTATAGGAGAAGAAAAAGTAGTCTTAGAGTCTATAAATGTAAAAACAAAAGGATTGCTTTTTTTTAAAAAAAAGCTTCAACGTTGTCTTAGGACAGCGATACAAAAGAAATATATAAACATATAAAATTGGATCTGCACATATATCATCAGTGTTCAGCAAAAACTTTGCATTTCCATTACTTTTTTACATAAAGACATAGTTTGTTATGCTTTCCCAGGTGGTTGCTAAGGTCCTCAGAAAAAGAAAATCTTGTTACATTAACTTCCATTACAAGTTCTTCTATAAAGCAAAGCAATATAATCTAGGTATTACTGACACAGATTACTACAGTAGACTACTGTATTTTTAATTTTTTTTTACTTTCTTTGTTTGGTATACTGTTATATGGTTTATTGTTCGGTTGATTATTTTTTTAATGTTTGGATTGTCTTTCTTTTCACTTTATTTGTTTGCCTCATGTAATGTCTGTCTTGCTTTTTCTTCTCCTGTAAATATACCATTTTGGAGATGAAGGTTTTGATCCGATATATGTAATGATGTGCTTACTTTAAAAAGCCGTCTGACCACTCCGTCCAGAACGTTCCACTTGGTTTTTCCGCTCACCCCAATACAGCCAATCATGAAGTCCCGTGGCCTGCATTCCTGAATCAGAACCAGAATCCGAATCAGCCAATTACGCTTTCACATACAAGGAATTTATTCAGAGTGTGCGAACAAAAAACTGAATATCTGTATACTCCACTATGAGCAAAAAAATGAAAACATTTTAATGGTTTTAACAACAAATCATTAAATAAATAGATGCCGTAAGTCAGTGTGTGAGAGTTTTTCACTTTTATTTCTTCAAATGTTGACGTTTTGTGTGTAAATGTGCAGACAGTCTTTTACAAAAAGAAGAGTCAGTATTGATCCACTCAGCACTGACAGCTTCAAACAGCTGAAAAACACTGCTGAGCTAGTTTGAGTTTAATGTGAGAACAAATATTCTCTATAGGGTTTAAATCTGGACTGACCAGCCAAAAATATCAGAAATCAGTAAAAACCACTATATTTTGGGCTTGGAACATTTTTGCATGGGATGTGCTAATTAAAATGTAAGTAAAATATATTAAAATACATAAATACATACAGCAATGTAAAATAAAAATATGCAAAACAGTACAGGTTCAGGTAGAACAAACTAGCAGAAGATGGTTTACGAAATATCTATATTGAGTATTAAAAACATATATAGCAATGAATAAAGTGTGTGCAGTTGAGTGCAGTACACAGCATTTATGTGAAGCAAGCAGTAGAAACCAGCAGTTTATATAAAGAAAATAAACAAATAATGCAGAGTTCAAACAGAACGCAGACTGACCTCTCTCCATGGTGCGTCTTCCTGCAAATTGACCACAATCTTCACGTGCCGGCCCTCTGTACGGAAACTGTCACCTCCAGCATCGTCCAGCAGCATGTCTAAGACCGGAGGGAGGAGTATCAGCACAAGAAAACATAAATTCAGCTTTTAAGTTTGAGAACCAACCTCACAGTTTCGTGCCAGTCCTTTCAGTCTCAGTCATGTTTTACAGTGAATCAAATTGTAAAATAATTCCAGAAGGGATCCCTTTTTTATTGATGGTCATCACCTCAGCTGAAAGTCAGTTGTGATTGGTCTATTTACATTCATTAAATCAGCAGTTTGTCTCCATGACAAGATTCTAATCCACCATCTTAAATACTGGGCAGGCCTCTCACCCACAGTTTTAAAATGGCTTAAATCATATTTAGTTAACAGACAGTTCTTGGTTTCACTGGGAAATCATTCATCAAAAAAATTTAACATTTCTTGTGGAGTCCCACAAGGTTCAGTTTTAGGGCCTTTGCTTTGGTCCTTTACATGTTACCTCTAGGTGATGTCATTAGGAGACATATAGCTATGCTGACGACACACAACTATACATTTCCATTCCTTCTGATGATCAAGACTCTGTAGAGCTGTGTCTCTCAGTGGATGTCTCAAAATATTTTATCTTTTTATACTGATCGTAGGTACTAAAACTCAGAGAAAGCTGCTTTATGAGAAGCTCGGCTCTTTAGCTTCATATATCAAATGTGCAGCAGGAAACCTGGGTGTGATCTTAGAATCTGAGCTCTGTTTTACCTGCATGTAAACACAGCCAGTCACTAAAGTAGCTTTAATAATTTGAGAAATATCACTAAAGTTCGGCCTTTTCTCTCTCAGAGCGATGCTGAGAAACGTGTAGCTCCGTTTGTTCAGTAGTTTCATCACTGTAATGATCTTCTTACTGGAGAAAACAATCCATCCTGTATAACTACAGAATGCAGCAGCACGGATCCTCACAACACCAATACAGAGAGCTCATATCCCCCCGTTTACACACTGTAGTAACTACCTGGATCTTTTAGGAGAGATTTAAAGCTCTGCTGCTGGTTTTTAAAGCTCTAAATGACCTTAAAGCTCCTAAATGTCTGTCTGTTTATGTTTGCAGATACTGGTCTCTGCAAACACTTTACGTAAAATACACAAAACATAGAGAGACTCTTATTCTGCTTCTACACGGTGGAGCTCAGTTCACCTTTTATCAGACAGTTAAGCTCAGAGCTCGCTTTTAATAAACATCCGAAAAAACAGCTCTTTAACTCAGCGCTTCATTAAAACTCTACGGCTCTTCTGATCTGTCATTTTTAAAATGACTTTAAAGTAGAACTCATAATTGTTTGTATTACTGTTAAGTCACTTGTTAGCAATCACAAAACACTGTAATGATCCATGCTCAGGGCTGGGTAACTGTGTGTTGTTATTGTGTTCAGATAATGTTGTACGGTCTGCTTGGTTACTGCCATGTTTTAAATTAGTCATGTTCATGTTTCCAGTCTGTATGCAGCCGTGATGGTCTTGGAGGAGCTTTTTATACTATTAAGTGCTGTAGTTCAGAAAGTGCCTCGTAGCTTTGGTTATTGGTAAAGGTGGAATTTTGGTCGGTCAATATGAAGACTTGAATTTTTACAGAAGACTGTGGATGTTTTTCCATTTTTGTTTATGGTTTTGGTTTATTTCTTAATAAGATATCAATATCAAACAGTAAATTTGAGCAGTCATTGTGGGAAAAGCAATGCCAAATGTAGGTGCCCAATTTGGAACATTCATACGGCGCCACTTACCGAAGCTGGTGGACTCGGTGAGGTTGAGGCTGTGCTGCGACAGGCCGGCTGTGGGTGTCTGAGAGTGAGGGGGGTTAGAGAGTGAACTCTGAGATGATGCTCGGCCGCTTGTCTGGCTCTCGCTCTTCAGGCGATCGTTCTCCGCCTTCAGCTTCTCTATTTCAGACTAAACGAACAAACGCAAACATTTAGAGACCATCTTCACCTCAAAAACACTTCATCAATCAGTTTAAAGGAAAGGAAACTGAAAGGAGTGGAGAAACCGTGTATAAAAAAGTGCAGATTCTAAGCTTTCAATCGAGACACATTAGTGTCTTTTAGTAGAAAAGGAGATGTGGGTAACTGTTTGTGGGGGGGGTCACCTGCATGCGGTTCATGGCCTCTCTCAGTTGGTCCAGCTGGTGGGCGGAGCTTAGCGCCTCTAGCCGAATGTCTGTCAGCTTCATCTCCTTCTCCCGGAGCTCACTGCGCAGCTGCATCACCGTCTCAGCCTCTCCGTCCAAACAGTCCTGCAGCCTGCAGACAGTAAACAGCTCAGACACCAGAACTCAGCACATCATTACTGAAAGGCTCGTCTATGCATGTACACACTGCATTCACTCTGCTTTCACCACGCTTACTTACTCAACGAGTCCACACTTCAGTTCCTCTCTCCTAACTACAGAGCTTAAATATTAGTAAATACTGAATTACTCATAGTACATACTGAGTAATTCACAGTAGATATCAAACACATTTATAGTATATACTGAATAATTCATACTAGATACTGAATAATTCATATTAGATACTGAATAATTCATAGTAGACACTGAATAATACATACTAGCTATTGCATATATGGTATATACTAAATTATTCACAGAGGTTATTGAATAATTAATAGCAAATACTGAATAATTAATAGTAGATACTGAATAATTTATAACAGATGTTGAATAATTTATAATAGATGCTGAATAATTCATAGTACATACTGAGTAATTCATAGTAGATGGTGAATAATTCATAATAGATGCTGAATAATTCTAAGTAATTACTGAATAATTCATAGTAGATGGTGAATAATTCAAAGTGGTTACTGAATAATTCATAGTAAATGGTGAATAATTAACAGTAGATACTGAATAATTCATGGTAGATGCTGAATAATTCTAAGTAGTTACTGAATACTTTCTCGCATTTGCTGAATAATAAGTGCACATACATATTCAATAGCAGATGCTGAATAATTAAGAAGAAATTAATATTAGTTACTGAATGAGTCCAAAGGGCTCCCTAAAGAGTTTAAATGTTTATCATTCATAAGTGCTGCGTACAGTGAATTAGAGTGCGAGTTCCTGAGCAGTGGAGCGGACATGGTGGACGCGGTGGAGCCATTGTGGGTCAGTTTTGGGGAGGAGGGCAGAGAGTCGGTCATTTCCTCGATGTCCGAGTGTGAGGAGGCTGATTTTGGAGATTTCTTCTTGGTGAAGGCCTGCTTAAAGGAGCTCCGCAACTGCAAACAAAGAGAAAAGACAAAACAGAACATGAATGAGAAGAATTGTGAAACTACAACAGCATCATCAGGAGTGCTGGAGCACGGAGTGGGGGAGTGGAGGGCCAGGGTGCGGGGGTAGGGTGGTGGAGAAGAGCAAAAAACAGGATAAGCAAGAAAAGGGGGGGGGTTATGCATACTTTCAGTGACTGTCTCTACCTTATCACTTGCGTTATGCTTTGTTACTGTTACAGTTTATTTATACACATAGAGGCCACTTTATCAGAAACACTTGCCTTATAGCTTACTTGTTGGCCAGTTTATTAGAAACACCAATCATCTAGGTGCACTTGGTAGGTTTACAGTTACAAACTGTATATATTAACTATATATTGTGCACAGTCCACTCTGGTCTCCGTATTTATGGCATTTGGTTGTATTTATTGTTGGGCATGAGCATAATTTTCCACTTGCCTAGTGTATTTATTGAATACATCACATTTACTGTGCTGTAATTTACTAAGTCTTGTTTAACTGCACCAATTCCATTCACTGTGCATTTATCACTCTGTTATTAATGTACTGCATTGCACTGTCTTGTTAAACTGTACTGCACGCAGTTTTGGTCCCTCATGATATGTGCATCTGCAGGTAAATTATACTCAGAAAACATTTTGCAGGGGTTCTTACAGTGGTCCTGAAAGTCAAAACATAACAGCATTTAGGAGGCAAACTAAAGATGAATACAAAACAACATTAAGGGAGAACAAAAAGCATGAATTTATTATGTATGTGTTCTCCATTAATGCTGCTGTGTTCTTGACTTTTGCTTTGCTCCATAAACGCTATTGTGTTTTGTCTTTCCGGGCCACCTGAGGTTATTCTGAGGGGACAAGGACAAAAGACTATTTAAATTTTTCTTCTGTATGTCACATATCTTAATGTATGTGCTGTTATCTAAAGTGACTAGATGGAAATATAAAAGGGCAACAGTAAAAAAAAAAACAACCCATCACAGTTTAAGGCATAGAAGCATCCCTTTAATACAAAGGCAAAAGAGTGAGAAGCAATAGAGAAAGAGCAGGGGCAGACAGCAGGGGGCATTAAAGCTACCAGGCTAAAGGAGGTGTTAGTACTGCAGCGCATTAGCTGGGAGGGATGTAGCAGGGTTTGCTAACACATACGCTCTTACCTCATACACCTGCCAAAGCCACGGCACGCAAGAAACAGAGAAACAGAGACACAGAGAGGACATTTCAGCTGCTGGGTGGAAGCGTGATAGAGCCACGGAGCACAGACCACACACAACAACAGAAAATCCCTATATTTATAATCTAATAATCTAATCTGACTAGCTAGCAAGTGTGCTAAAGAAACAGCTTGGCAAAAAAATCAAATCTAATTCTCCCCAAATACAGTCGATCAGCTGAGACGTCTTTGGTGTCTGAAGTTTACTTCTACAGGTTTAGCACTGGAGCTACGAGGCTAATGTAGCTAACAAGTAATGGAAGCTTATACCCCACCAATTAGCACAGTGCTAACTGCATGCCTAAATCTAATCATGTGGAGTTGTTCAGTGATCTCTAAAAGACTTGATTATGCGGTTTCTGACACTGTACACCCTTAAAAATGGTTCTTCAAGGGTTCTTTAGTAAAATGAATGCTTCTAAACAGAACCATGAACAACTAATGAACCATGTGAATATATAAATGCTCCTTTGCAAGTTTTGCCTATTTAAAAAGGTTCTCCAAAGAACCTTTTTGGTATTATATTGAAATATTTTTGTTAAGATATACTGCATAATATACTCTTATCTATAGACATGGACTAATGTATGGACAAAGATGGTTACTATCACTGTTTTAGCCAGGCTTTTGAACATTTCTGTATATTTTTTAGACTCCAAACATGTCTTGGCACACTGAGTAGAATTGAGCACATTTGGATTAAGGGAAAAACTGTATATATTTTCACCAAGCTAATCCTTTAAACTGCAGAATGAAAAGGAGACAGGATGAACTCGGTAGGGAGAAAAGTTCTTCCTTGTTATTCACAGGTTTCCCTGAAAGACAACCCCCAAACACTGTCCTCTTTTCTAACACAACTGGACCCAGAGATCACCCCTGAGGCACGCCACCACTAACAGTGTAATACTGGCACTAAGAATCAACGTCTAAGGGACTAAGGAGCACACAACATTCACATTAGCCTAGGTAATACCACATGGAAAAGAAGGACTTAAAGTCCCAGGGAACACAGAGTAAAATGTATATAATAATATTAAACATCCAGCAAAGCTTGAATGAAAAATATAAGTCATAACTATGATAAAACATGGCTTAAAAACTGCTAATCAGCTCTATCGGAGAACTGTGTGGGCATAGCTGATGAGCAGCTTGATTGACAGCTCTCTGTCCAACACTCCTAGCCTGCTCCTCATACAGAACTGATCATAATTCGTCTTTTATGTAACGCTAAGTGGATGGAAAAAGTCATCCAGATGGACAGACACGCGTAAATGAAGGAATGAACAAATGAAAAAAATGTAAATGTTGATAAACGAGTGAACGGGCGACAGGCTGCTACAGACAGGTGGGCTAGCATGCTAGCTTCTGGTTATGCTGGGTTAGCTTAAGGACCGCCCAGTTTACATGGAGAGGAGAGAAATATACTGAAATATATCTGTCAGTTATTGGTCAGTGGAACATTATTCATAGGGTAAATTTAGTAAATGTTTACTGTTTGTCTGCAAGAACACGATTAACCTGATTAGAAACAAAACACAGATTTAGGTTCCCTGGTTCTTCAATAAAAAAGGTCTATCAACATAAACTGCCAGTAATCCTTAAGGTAATTCATTATCTTGTAGTGCTCCCAAAACTACTACTACCTGAAAAATACACACGCTCATGGCATATGAGTATTTTTCATTTTGAAACATACATATTAATCACCAGACTCTTCTGTTCCAACACAGGACACCAGCTGTGGCCAGTGAAAAACAAAAACCCAAAATTAAGCCCTATCTGGGGCTTTCAAAGGGGAATTTCAATGATTTATCAAACTTTCTGTAGAATTCAGTGGTAAACAAAGTTGTTCAGAGCTGTTCACAATGTAGATTTCTTTACAGTGGTGGTGATAGATACCAGGGGTCACCATGTCTACAACACAAATACAGACATTTTATTTACTATCTAAAACCACCAGTGAACCTACAAGTGTCTTCTGAGTTTTATATGAAATGTTGATGATGGAAAGATTAAGAATAAGTTTTCTTTGCAATCTATTTTGCCTCACAATGCCCTGCACGTACCCCTCCACAATTAATGGAAATGGATTAAAATAGTCAAAACGTTTCCACAAAACTATCATAAAACAGCGTCTCAGACATCAGGCAATGTATTCATAACCATTTCACATAATAACTTTCTGTGAAGGAGTTTTTAGAGGTGGACGTCTGGTTCCTATCACCATCACTGTGAACAATTCTGACTCGGTGAGTTTCTCTAGACCGGACCGTTTGACACCAAACCAATCTGAACAATCTTGTTTACATCTTAACCAGTTAATTATGTTATATTTTTTGAAAAACTGATGGAGTTGCCATATAGGTGTGCTCTCTGTAGGGAATGTGTTAACTTTTTTCCACTTAGAAAATCAACACAGCTGTAATTTGACTGGAGTGTTCAAAGTTTTGTATTATGACTGCATGTATGGCCTGCGTGTGTATCTGTCTTTAACAGCACGCTAACCCACAGTGTGTGTGTGTGTGTGTGTTGCACTAACCCAGTTCTTCTTCTTCTTCTTGCTGCTATTGTCAGGGTTCTCGATGTTGGAGCCCATGCTAGAGTGGCTGGTTGTGCTGGTGACGCTGGACATGCTGTCAGAGGAGTGCTGTCTGCGCATACGCAGCTCTGGCTGCATGCACGCCGAGCCGTTAGAACCTGCAGAACCAAAAACAAGCCACATATAAACCATTAGAATCTGCAGAACCAAAAACAAGCCACACACTGAACCACTGGAGCCTGCAGAACTAAAAAAACATACTGAGCTGTTAGAACTTGCAGAACCAAAACACACTGAGCTGTTAGAACTTGCAGAACCAAAAATATTAATTGAGCTGTCTAAACTTGTAGAACCAAAAACACACATGCTGAACGTTTAGAATCTGTAGAACCGAAAACAAGCCACATGCTGAGCCGTTAGAACCAGCATAAACAAAAACATACATGAGGAGCTGTTAGAACCTGCAGAACCAAAACACACCCTCACACTGAGCTGTTATAACCTGCAGAACCAAAAATACAAACTGAGCTGCTCGAACCTTTAAGAACCAAAAACGCACATGCTAGACCAAAAACACACAACACACACACACACAAACACACTAAGTCATTAGAACCTGCATAACTACAAAACACAAATCAACCTGCTAGAACCTGCAGAACAGTCATGAACCAAAGGGAGTTTAGAACAGAAAAAATAACACGATAATCATTAAAGGAACAGTTTAACACACACATCATCATCACACACTTTACTCAAGCCTGTTGAAAACAGCGAATCAAACACTGTCAGAAACTTTAGGTGGGCGATACGGCAAAAATCTCATAGAACTTTTCACGTTACACGACATCTGATTCGTTGTAAAAAGAGCCAGTACAGCTACATTTTAAAAAATACTAATAATTTGCCACTAAATCCAGTTAAATGGACTAATTTTTGCTCTCTTTATAATGAAACATGCAGGCATATTGTATTGTGACATAATACGCTTTGATGTGAGTCTGTGATGATTTAGGTATGCTCTCTCTCTCTCTCTCTCTCTCACCTGTGCGTTCAGTTTTGCAGGTGAGTTCAGGTGTGTTGATGACTCCATTAATAGCGGCCTGAGCCACAGCATTCTGTTTCTTCAGCAGCTCGATCGTCTTCCTCAGCTCGTTCAGCTCAGAGTCCTAACAAACACACACGCGCACACGTCAAAAATCTAGAAAAAAAATGATAATGCTAATTTCTGCTGGCAGCCCTATGTGATTTCTAATAGTATGTTAGTGATAAGCTAACACTGGTAAACAAACATATTTTGGCTGTTCTAGATTAAATACAGATCTTTGAAGCTTGCAAAAGTCATTCCATATGTTTTATCTGAAGCTTGTAACAGACTTTATCATATATGTGAGCTTGTACGTATCGGTGTTAAAGTGACTCTTTCAGTAAAGCGTCCTACATAGTGCTTTGAATATTGTGCTTAAGACCTCTACAGAGTCCTGTATACAAAACCATACAGTTACTGAGCACGTTTACATGCACTTAATAATCCGATCATTTTCAGATTTCTGCTGTTATCTGATTATTAAGTGGTTGTGTAAACAGCACACTCTGATTTCTTAGAGCAGATTAAGGTCTATAAATCTGATTAAGAAATCTGATAAAGAGGCTGATTTGAGCTCAGGAATGGGGGTTTCAGTGCATGTAAACCCTCACTCTGATTTCTTTCGTATCTCTCAGTCTGCACATGTGTGAAAACAATCTCCTGTCCCGGAAACAGCGAGCAGCGTTTAACACAGCACCCGCGAGATGCAGCCCAGCACTTTTGGAGTGACACTGAAACCGACTACACTCATTACTCAAGAGCATGAAAAACACACTGAACCAGTTACTGACACAATCTGATTTTCTGCAGTTATTGGATTATTAAGTATAATCACACTGAACCAGTTACTGACACAATCTGATTTTCTGCAGTTATGAGATTATTAAGTATAAACACACTGAACCAGTTACTGAAACAATCTGATTTTCTGCAGTTATAAGATTATTAAGGACAAACACAATGAACCAGTTACTGACACAATCTCATTTTCTGCAGCTATCAGATTACTAAGTGTGAACACACTGAACCAGTTACTGAAACAATCTGATTTTCTGCAGTTATAAGATTATTAAGGACAAACACAATGAACCAGTTACTGACACAATCTGATTTTCTGCAGCTATCAGATTATTAAGTGTGAACACACTGAACCAGTTACTGACACAATCTCATTTTCTGCAGTTATCAGATTATTAAGTGTATGTAAACACATTCAGTGTTTTAGCATTGTAGTGTTTTAGTGATGAAGTGTTGTAGTGTGGACCTTCTGCTCTGCGGTCATGGTGAGGCTCTTCAGTCTGATGGTCATGTTCGCCAGGCTCTGTTCAAACGCTGCCACCAGGTGGGCCTGAAAAACAAGACAGGAAAGAGAAGAAACAGTCAGACGGAGCTTGTGAAAGCATTATGATGTCAGCGAGAGCTGCAGAGTGTGTGGAGATAGCAGCTGGACTGAAGGTCAGCGATGTAATGCTGCTCAAATAACCAGACAAACCGAAACTAATCTGATGCTGTTAACATCAAACCACAGTCTGCTTCCTTCACGGCCTTCTGACCCAAAACGGTCAGTGCATTCAGAGAGTAACACAGAGAACAGAGGAAACACTGTAACAGCCTGGCTATCAAACTAACTCTACACAGAGAGTTACACAGAGTTAACCACCAACATAGCAGGGTCACTAACAGCTTTCACATTCTCAGCAGATCTACTTTTATTTAGTCTGTCATTCTGGGCTTTGATTTTAGTTTAGTTTTACTTAGTTTTAAAGGTCACATTAATAGTTTTAGTTTTTATTTTCCTGAAAAGTAACAATTTTAGTTTTGTTTTTAATTTTCTCAAAAGTAATAGGTCATATATTTGCCACTTTACATGTCAAAACAACGTAATAACAGCACTGAGGGACCACACTGATAAAGGAGAAAGGAGATATAAGGGCAGATACAGCAGTGTGGACATTAAAGGGTCAATAGTATCACAGTGCGTCTCCTAGTATCAGCATGTTTACATTGTTGATTGTTCATGGTTTAAACGCTAACGCAGTACAGCGTGTTTTCTGTAGCGTATGGGTTCAAAATGCTGCTATTATCTGAGTGACAGCGAGCATATTGTGCTTTGCATTAAGATCAGAGCAATAGGAAACTCCAGTGGAATCACAGAGTCATCACTCATCACACAATAACATCCACCCACACTTTAACCACCAGTATCAATATCACTCACAGCGTCACCTCACTGCTGCCTCCGCCCAGAACACGATCTGAGACTTTCCCTGAAATAAACACCAACTAAGCCACACAAACACACTCTCTAGCAGTGACAATACACTGTAGTTTTATATTATTTCTAACTGAAACAAGTGCAGAAACTGTGTGTAAAGTGGAGATCTTTCAATCCAGACCACATCAGTGTCTGTATGAAGAAGAGCTACTCTGGTAACACTGTAATAGAATAGTATAATTACAGGCCCCTATGAATAACAACACAGTCATTATCTCTTAACTATATAATTGTTACTTGTGCATTAGTAAGCGCTTCCATTTTAATTATTAACTGTTTACATACAGATAAATAAAGCACTGTAAATGCTGCTCATAAATGTATGACATTTATGTGCAATAAATAATATGATACATCCTTGATGATATGATATGCATTATACACACAGCTATAGGTTCCACTTAATAATTATTAATATCATTAACAGGACGTGGACAATTCATTCAAAATTATTGTGAAATGTTTTTATGCAACTAAGTAAATGCAAATTCAAAATAACTACTGATAACTGGTATGTCACTCAGTACATGGTTATTAATTCAAATGGTACATGTTATTGAAGCAAATGTGACTACATAATTATTAACAGTCATTAAAATTATTTGGGCCTGTTATTATTAAAGTATTATTGATAATTTATTATGATTTGAATTTCAAAGAAATATTTTTCTGTGTTTTGCAGAAAGAAAAAACATTTTGCATTTGTGCAATTCATGCCATTTTTTGACAGAAAAAAGGCAGAAGCATAGACTTAAACCTGTCCAAACTGAAAATTAAATATATAGTCATTGCAATGAAGGTTTTATGGCTCCACTGAGAAAATTTGGCTGATAAAATCGGTTGACATTAATGTTTCACAGATTTATTTGCATCTGCACACCCTAACAATGCCTTTTAATACATTATATGCAAAAACCTCATTCACAATGTGATACTTATTCAAACAACCCGTACTGTCAGCGCTAAGGGGCGCTAAAACCTCCCCCCATAAAAGGGCTTGCCTAATAGTTACAGTCTTATGCAAAAGTTTGCGCACCTGTGGTCAAATTGCATGTTTGTGTTGATTATCTGAGTGTAAACATCCTCTACAGTAACATACTACCGCACATTTTAATATACAGCTTCTATTTATTTGTATTTAACTTACTGGAACATAAAACATACAATGTGCCATAACTGTTTTTTGCGTGTGTTAAATTCAGCAAATAAACAGCAACTGTGCTTTTAAATGTACAGTACTGTGTCTCTGTAGAGAATGTTTAACTTATTTACACTCAGAAAATCAACACAAACATGTAATTTGACCAGGGGTGCCCAAACTTTTGCACATTACTGCATCTGATACAAGACTTGCTGTTGATTTGAGTTTAAGAATATATACAATTATTAAAACATGACTGGATTTGACAAGTGCCTATCATATCAGTCATTAAAGTACACTTTAAAGGACCAGTTTACCAAAAATCTAATTTACAGTCTTCAACAATGAAGAAGATCGGTGAAGACATTTGGTGTCTAAAGTTTATGGACAATATAGTAAAAGTCTATACCATCAAAACTTCCATTATTGGTTAGCTGTATTCACCTTGCAGCTCCACTGCACGTAGGGTAAGGTGAAACTTCTGCAAATTTATTTTTGGTGAACCTGTCCTTTAAATCTATTGAGGTGTGTTTCATTTTTGGCCATAATAATATTGTTTATCAGACTTTGTAGTTCCATAAAATAAGGACACGTGTCAGAATTTGTATATTTTTCACTTTGACTTTCTATTAAAGAGTTAATTGTAATTATATTTAAATAGTTCCGCACTGAAACTTGAACATACAACAAAACAACCATAATAGTGATTTTTAAGGGTTGAAAAGCAGAATTATCAGTCATACTGTATGTGCACTCACGTTAGCGCTCAGCTGTGTTGTCAGGGCGGAAACCTTTTCCTGAGAAGCGTCCAGCTCTCTGCGCAACTTACGGATCTACAAAAACAGAGAGAAAAGAAGATGAAAAGAGCAGACAGTCATAAAAAGTAGAATAAAGAGACAGGCAGGGGAAGGGGAGGGGCTTTTAAAAACGCTCACCTGTAGCCCAGGTGTGGGGAGGAGAAGAACACTGTGACTTTAAAATCAAAAAGGCAGATTTGCAGGTGTGTGTACAAACACGAACACACAGTCTTTAACCCTTTAAACGGCTCATATGCTGCATTTTTACTTTCTTTCATTTCTATCATGTTTGTATACAAAAACAGTCACATTCATTTTTACACAATCATTTTCAAACCTCTCTTTATCTCATAGCTGTTATTGCTACTGTGCCTTTAATACTGATATATGTTAATGAGCCCTGTTCTAATTGGCTGTGCTGTATTGTTGGCAGTCCGGGCTGAAACACTCTTTATAACTTCAGCGTGAATGGGTGGAGCTAAACTGCTGTAGGTGATGTAACTAAATAGGTAAAAATATGCAAATGCAATGGAGTTTGTAATGTCACAAGAAAATTCATTAAAAATAGGCAGACTCTGCAGCTGAGTTTCCATGTACGCCCTAAAGAAAGTTCTTTATTAAAGACTGTGGTTCTATAATGAACCATGAACACTCAAAGAACCTTTAGCATAATTAAATGGTTCTCTGCACCATGAAACGGATCTTCAGCTTGATGGAGAATGTGATGTATATGGTCTTATATAGCACCAAAAAAGGTTCTTTTATTCTTACAATGTCTGGAAACACTGTTTGTACATGGTTCTTTGCATGGTGAAATGGTTCTACAGATTGATGGAGAATGTGTTCTATACAGCACCAAAAAAAGGTTCTTCTATTGTATACAAGCTTGAATAGCAGCACCCTTTTGGTGCTATATAGAACCATTTTCAAAACAGTTCTATATAGAACCATCTACAGCACGTTCTCCATCCATCTTGAAAAAAACACCATTTTTAAGTGTGTATGCACTGAGAATGTTTCTGAAACTGAACAATGTTTACATACTAGACTAGACTAAATGATGGTTCTTCAAGGGTTCTTTAGTAAAGGAAATGGATTTATATAACTATGAACCTTTTGCATGATTACAGGGTTGTTGTATATGGTTCTATATAGAACCTTTTTGAAAAGGGTTCTATATAGCACCAAAAAGAGTTCCTCTACTGTTATAATGTCAAGCTTGTAATAACAGAAGAACCCTTTAAGCATGCAAATTGTCGCTGTCCAAAAAAAAAGTAATGATTCTACATCATCTGAGCTTTGCAGCTGCCCTTTACATTGTATGAAAATGTCATGATGAATAGACCAACAGAAATGCTCCAAAATTGTTTGCAATAAAAACATTCTACATTAACTTTCTTTGAAAGAAAAGAACGTTTTTGCCCTCTCTTTTTGCCCTTTGGAGATACTTGTTTTCCTTTGGACAGCAACAAAATTGTTCTTTGAGTATTCAAAGTTCTAGACAGGACTACTGTCTTTACTAAAGAACTGTCTTTTTAGGAGTACGCTTCTTAGGTTTATTAAACTCTTTTTCTTGAAAATTTTATTACACACTTCTATAATCTAAGATAGCTCAGCCCCTGAAGTTAATTATTAATAAGCCTTAGTATGTAATGAGTCTGAGATTTTAAGGTGTTAACAATATAAACTGAGTCTGTTCTACAGTTTCTCATTAAGTTGAATGAATAACTGGCTCTGAATGTAGGTACTGTGACATAAACTGAGTCTGTTCTACAGTTTCTCATTAGGTTGAATGAATAACTGACTCTAAATGTAGGTATTGTGACATAAACTGAGTCTGTTCTACAGTTTCTCATTAGGTTGAATGAATAACTGACTCTAAATGCAGGTATTTTATCTGGTAATGTTAGTCTCCGAAGTCTGATCCAGGTTCAGATGTGTTGTGTTTATTGTGGTAAACACAGACGCAGACGGACTCGACTGTAACTGAGGCTGAAACAGGACCTGAGTGAAACCGTCCTCGGTTTGTTTTCACAACACGTCACTGACAACCAGGGAAAACACGCACACGCACACACATGCAAAGAAGGGGGGGCAAGCAAACACAGGATGGAACTGATCTGCACATTAAGTCCTTCATTACTCACCTCTGACTGTGATTTCTCTTCAGTCTGTAAGGAAGAAGAGAAAAGAATGAACAGTCATGTAGTGATTCTGTAAAGATAAACATGTTTAGAGATCATTCATACACTTAACCATCACAGAGACACATTTTATACACTTAAATTGTTTCCACAGACAAAATAAAGTCAGGAAATAAGTCTGAATATGTCCAACATGCTGCATGCCACACATTAGTTTATACACATATTACATTTTTAAAGATAAAGGCAGGTCTTTGCCAGGCAGCTGCACTTTTTTCCAGTATTTTGTCTCCTGTTTGGCTTAATCCTCCAATGCAAAGTCCACACACAGACTGCCACAAACTTGGTCTACTGGCATTTAAAGAGGACCCACTGTGCTCATTTTCAATGTTCGTAATTTTATTTTTATCCAACAGAACAGATTTAGATGCTTCAAAACACATTATTTTCCTGATACTGTTCATCTCTATTCACTCTCTGAAACGCTCTGTTAGAGCTCCTGTGTCTTTAGGCCCTGCCTCCCAATGAGCCCAGTGTGCTCTGATTGGTCAGCTCGCCCACTCTGTTCTGATCGGTTGACCTCCAGAGCGTTTCCCCCCTCCATGTTCCGCCCCTGTCCTGCAGTCTGCAAACAGGCCCTTCTCTCCTGAGCAGCTGTAAACTCCACTGTGGCTGTTTCTCCAGCAGCGTCGGTTGTGCCGCATCAGAGATCATGATCCAGAGTCGGTCCTGAAAGTATGGTCAGTGTCTTCTCCACACGCTACAACACTGAAGACACTGTTCCTCCTCCAGTAGCTGCTGTGCCCTGTGTGAGGGAGTGCAGAGCTCGCCGGTAGGCAGGCACTAAGGACTGTGTTACGAGATTGAGTCATCTTGTATCAAAGGAAAAGGGCTGAAATTCGTTTCAGGCAGCTGAGAAAAGTGGTTTCTGTGGGAGAGTGTTTCTCACTCTGGAGGGAACGCTGAGCTTTGGGACTTTGCAGAACGTTTACATGCACAAAAAGCTACAATATACTGAAGAAAAGAAAAAAACACATTTCAAAATGGTGTTTTTTTTTAAACCTGAGAAAATGGAAACATAGCCAAGTTGCAGAAAAAGAGCACCGTGAATTTTTGATTAGTGAAACTTTCGTACGACATGGAAACCTGTGGAGATCTGAGCACAATCAGCTTCAGTGCATGTAATCAAGCAACTGCCTACCCTCTTAAAAAGATGGTTCTTAAAAGATTCTTTAGTATATATATTGGGCCTCATTCACCAACAGTTCTTAAAAAGAAATTTCTTCTTAAAACCCACTTACGCAGTTTTGAGGAAGATTCTGACATTCACCAATGTTTACTTATTTGGAATTTGTTCTTAGGTAAGAAAAGAATCTACACACACTCAAGAGCTGTCACGCTTCTTGCCACTCATCAGACGGAGCTAGTTCCCTCGCTCGCGTGTTCTGACACGAACTCCATTTCCCAGACTCCTCAGCAAAGTCACATGACTCCAGAGAGATCCTCATCATCGCAATCATCGCTCAAGTTCGCCTGAATACTAATGCTTTGCAGCTGTTTTAGATAGTATTTAAGCCCGGGCTTTAGTTAGAATTTTTGCGAGGTATTGCTTTCTTTACGAAACTACTGAGCGTTTTCTTTCTGATGGTTTTCCTGGTTATGACTTTATTCTTATCGTTTTCTCTGACTCTGTTTTTGGATTTGCCCTTTTGTACTTCTGCCTGGTTATTTGGATTGGTGATTTTGACCCTTCGCTTATTTTGTGGACTTGTTTTGCCCTTGTCTGTTATGGTAGCCATTCTCATCTTGGTGTGTTTTCTGGAACTGGCCCATGCTCGTTATCTGACTACGGTGCTCATCCCTGATTCCCCAAGTAAAGCTTCCTTTTTGTTTTCAAACCGCGAGCGTCTGCTTCCTGTTCAAACATTACAAGAGCACAAAGGTGAGAATAGTTCTATGCTTTAAGAACACGTCATGAATCTGACATAGACTTTTTCTTAGGACCTTTCTCAAGAACACATTTAAGAACAAACTTAGGAAGATATTGGAGAATGAGGCCCAATGGTTCTATACAGAACCTTCTGCATGCTTAAATCGTTTTCTGCATGGTGAAATAGTTCTTCAGATTGATGGAGAATGTGTTCTATACAGCACCAAAAAGTGTTCTTGCTATTGTTCCGATGTCAAGCTTCCAAGAACAGAACCCTTTTTGGTGCTTTGTAGAACCACATACAACACATTCATGGTTCTATACAGAACCACTGTTCAATGCAGACGTTTTGACTGCATTCAGCGGCTTGTGAGCCAACTGCTTAGCTGGTAGGCGGAGTTTGAGGTGGAGCGGTGAGTGCACCGCTCCCCCTACTGACCAAAGTTTATAGCGTTAAGATTACGACCACTGGAAAAAATTAAATGTGAAATAAACAAAACGTCTTCGTGTTTTTAAAGATGGTTTCATGATGTGATTGTTTAGTGAAAAATATCATATTTAAACGCATTATTATTGCAGTGTGTGACATTAGCTGTGTTTTATATTGTTTATTTTGTGGGCGGAGTCCATACTGTAAAACAAAAACACTGTGTAAAGTATCTTTAAATGGCATATCGTATAGCTGCAGCTTTTGTTTATATTAATGTTCATGTAAAATAAGTACATCCACTTTTGTGCTGGATTGCTATACACACATCATTAGTGTTATTGTTATTTTCTATTTTTATTGTCATTACTGGTATTAAAGATGACATTCATAACAGTCTTGGTTAGTAATCCACAAATCAAGCATTGTTAAACTATAAACGCTCAAATTTACACAGTCCTATCAGACGTGAGTTTGATTGTACAGATACAGCAGAAATTAAATCTCAGAGATGAAATTTGTGGGTGCTGATTTTATGATCAGATTTGACCGTACGTAATTTTGATCAAGAAGGGCCAATATCTGTATGTGTTTACAGAGAATAGCTCTCAGCTCTCAGGTCTGACTGTAATACTTAAAAAATTTTTCACACATTAACTGCGAGTAACTGCGACCTGATCAGCTGCTGACAGTTTTTAACTGTAAAAGCATTTAAAAATTATTTAATACTGAATGTTGTGAAAGTATAGCACCGTAATTCTGTCTCTATCCCCCTCTGCTCTCTCTCTGCTGGGCTCGCTTTCTACATCTATCTGTTCTCCTTCTCTCTCTCTGTCTGCTCTGTTCTTACTCTCCCTCTCTGCTGTTCTTTCTCTCTTCTGTGTTCTCTGTCTCTGTCCTCTCTCCCTCTCTCTTCTGTTCTCTCTCTCCTTCTCTTTTCTGTGCTCTTTCTGTTCCTTTCTCACTTTTTTTATCTGTGTTTTCTCTCTCTTTCTCAGTTTTTTCTCATTTTCTCTGTCTTTTCTCTCTCTCTCAGAGTAGGTATGTATTGTTATGTCTGGAACAATGGCATTGACCAGCAACACACACACTCACACACACACACACACACACACACACACACACACACACACACTGCATGTTTAAGCGATAATGTGACTCTGTCTCTTCAGAGCTCCTTCGTCTACTTCTGTTTCTATGTGTGTGTGTTTTGTGCAGTTAAGAAAGCATCAGTTACTAGACACACACACACACACACTCAAACACCATCACTGTTTTGGTGTGTTACCAACACAGCACACTGACACACTCAACACACTCGGTCCCGTCAGACTGTAGGACTGAACCACTACAGGTACATTTAACTACACATCATGAAATAATTATGTTTATAAATATGTAAATACATGCATACAGTGAGACAAATCATGTATTTAAACCAAAGTTTGTGATGATGGTTCAGTTACAGTGAAGCCTGAAGGTTAAATATGATACAGAATATGAAATCTGTGTGAGGTCTTACCGTATTCCTCCATGCACTCACAGCTCCTCCTATAGACAGAGTAGCCATCATCTTCACAATCTCTCTCTCTCTTTTTCTTCTTTTCTTTCTCTCTTTTCTACTTCTCTTTCATTCTTTCATTCTGTTTCTTTTCCTCTTTTCTCCTTTCTCTCTTGCTTCCTTTTCACTCACTGCTTCTCTTTCTCCCTCTTTCCTCTCTCTCTCTCTCTCTCTCTCTGTGTGTGCGTCTTCACTCTTCCACTGCATCCGTAACTGCTCTCTTGCTCGCTCGCTCTCTCTCTTTCCTTCAGCTGAATGGGGACACACCTTTAGCCCCGCCTCCACAGGTGAGTGTACTTGCTTTTTAAAGGGGCGTGGCAGAGCTGGACTCAACCGAAACCACAATTGGCTGAGGGATTTTCCACGTGGGTGTGGCTTAACGTGGGTGGCTGAAGCAGTTTAAAGTGAAAATCTGATGAAAATGGATGGCTAACAAGTAATGGAAATGTATGGCCCACCAATTAGCATGGTGCTAATTGCATGCATAAATCATCACACATGTGTCTCAAACTCTGTGGAGGTGTTTAGTATCTCTAACAGACATGATTATGTGGTATGTGGTTTCTGACACTGTTATCTACCTCTATATATATTATATATACAGCTTTAGATATAAACACATCTACATATAACATATACATATAGAAACCTTTAAAAACTATAAAACTATAAAGTACACAATTGTCAATTACAGTGTATGTCATACATTTTCAGCACTGATTTGGGAGACTTTCATATGTGGTACTGAAATCTGATCCGTATCTGTTCCGTATATGCGGCAGAGCGACTCAGTCTGAACAGCCATATCTGAATTCAAGCGACTTTTATGTGAATCCAACTCAACATTCATCATAATTTTGTGCTGCCGAGACCTTATAAACATCTGGGCTGATGTTTCTGTACAAACTAAATTATAAGATGCTCATCCAAACCACTCTTTGTTCGAAGAGATTCCAAAAGAAATGACAGAATGCAGCTGTAGGAGAACGAAGCCGCAGCATCTACGTTACAAGTCTGAAAGCAAAGTTTACAGAAACCAAGAATGCGAACCAAAGAAGTGGGTATAGCTGAATAATGTGCCCCTTTTACAGCGAGCTCGAGCGCATTCTGGGTGATGAGTCCAGCTGTCAGTCATCAGAACTTCTTATCAGCTCCTGAGACGCTGGAGAAATGAAGTTGAAACCTGTTACTGTTCACTCTATTGATTGATGCCGTCTGGTTGAGCCGTGTGAAGCATCGTTCTTTTATAGGTCAGTTTAGGAGTCTGATCAGTTCAGACTGATTTCGGCCACATTTAAAAGATATTGTAACAGCCTAACAAAAAATCAGATTTGGACCACTTTTATCTGCTTCCTTTACTTGTTAGCCACATTAGTCTCATAGCTCCAGTGCTAAAGCCCATGCCCACATGGGAAATCCCTCAGCCAATTGCGGTTTGGGTTACTGTGCTAATTTGTGGGGTATAAGCGTCCATTGCTTGTTAGCTACATTACCCTCATAGCTTCAGCACTAAAACTAAAGAGGCAAATTTCAGACATCAAACACTTCTCGGCTGATCACCCTTACAAAAACAAAAAAAGTTTATTCAAGCGTGCTATTAGTATACATTTTAAACTAAAAAATAAGTGAGTACGCTTTCAGTATGCTTTCATGTATTTATCTACTTAAGTATACTTGGCTTACACTTACAAGTATACAGAAAAGTTTAAGTACACTACAAGTATACAAGTAGTACACTGATATTAGTATACTTACTACAAATAGTATACTTGGGAAATATACTTGAACTTTACTTAAGTTTACTTAATATAATGAACTTTAAGTATACTTTTTTTGTAAGGGCAGTTACATTTAAGTTAAGTGGGACCTTTTTATCAATTTGTCTCTTTAATATGACCCTTTTATGATGTGGCTTTTCCCGTCTGCAGTAAAACTGTCTGTGGATCTGTCTGTTGCACAGATTTTATTGGTTTGGCATGACAGCTCAGATCTCAGCGTACAGAAGCTCCTTTGTCTCTGCCGAATCTGAGCATGTGAAGCTGATTTCCGTTTGTGTCTTTTTGACATTTTTAGCTTCATAACTTAAAAACACAAGAGTGACCTCACAGAGACATCAGCGGAGGGTAAGGAGGATTTGGGCTGCTGTTAAACTCACCGTTGAGTAGATGGAGGAGGTGCTGGAGACCAAAGAGAGGGAGGAACCATGAACTGGAGGAGAAAAGAGAGAAACGCGATGAATCAGTCTGAAGGTGTTGATTAAACTGCATTAACTGTTAAATATTATAATTAATTATAAACACACTGAATAATGTTCAATAATCAATACAAACAGCATTCAATATTATTCCATATTAATTATAATAATATTTAATAAAGTTTGTGCTCTATTAGTTTTTACTAATAGATTTATGAACAGTACAGTGTGAGGCCACACACACACACACTCAACCCGTACATTAACCTCTACAACCCTCAATTACACTCTTCCCTCGCTTAGGGAAGAGAGTGAGAGAGAGAAAGTGTGTGTGTGTGTGAGTGTGTGAATGTGTGTGTGTGTGTGTGTGTGTGTGTGTTTGTGAGTGTGTGAGAGAGGTGTGGAGTCAAATTACTCCCTACAGTAAATATGACACATTCAACCAACCAAACACACAAATACACACACACACACGGTTGTCTGGAGTGTATGATTAAGCAGCGCCCCCAGAGGGGGAGAAAGAGGAGGAGAAAGAGGAGGAGAGGAAAGGAAAAAAAAGAAAAGGAAAGGTTAGGAGAGGAGAAGAAAAGAAAGCAGAGAAGAACTGAGGAGAGGAAAGGAAAGAAAAGAAATAGAAAGGAAAGGGGAGAAGAAGAGAGGCAAGGAAAAGAAAAGAAATGAGAGGAGAGGAAGTTAAAGAAAAGAAAAGAAAAGAAAAGAACAGGATGGGACAGGACGAGATGGGACAGGAAAGGACAGGAGGATATAGGAAAAGAAAGGATGGGACAAGAAAGGAAAGGAAAGTAAAGGAAACAGAAGGAAAGAGGAGGAAAGAGAAAGAAAGAGCAGGAAAGAATGGGACAGGAAAGACAAGGAAAAGGAACAAAAGCATGAAACAAGAAAGTAAAGTAAAGGACATGAAAGGATAGGATGAAACGAGACGGGACAGGAGGGCAAAGGAAAGGAAAGGAAACGATCAGACGAGATGAGACGAAACAGGAAAGAAAAGGAAAGGAAAAGAATAAAAAAAGGAAAGGAAGGGACAGGACAAGACAGGACAGAATCATCTCTCAGTAATCACATGTTCCTCCCTGATCTACATCTATAATTAATGCTCTCTTTCTCTCTCTCTCCCCCTCTCTCTCTCTCAGTGAACAGTGGTCTGCGGGATAACTCTTCATGTATTTATTAAATCTGTTCTTACATACACTCCCCTCAGTGTTCAGTGTTGTTCTCTCTGTGCAGGGTGATGATAATGATGATGATGGTGATGGACAATGTTTTGGAGTTTGTTATTTCATGCAGTCTAATGTTACAGTCTGAGCTCTGCTGGGGGTTGTTCAGAACATTAGATAAACTCTAAAAATACCCAGTGAAAATAAAACAAGTCATTAACATTGTTTTCATAATTGATCATTTTTTTACTCTATAAGGATTTGATCCTTTTCTCTCCAGAAAGCATCCAGGTGTTCAGTCTTTTGCCATTTCGAGGCTTGATGACTGTACTTGATTAAGCCAGCTCTCTCTCCTAGCTGGTCTTATTCTGTGAGCCATCAGGTCCTTCAACTGATCCAGAATGCAGCAGCTGGGCTCACCTTGCGATCACTCATGTCACTCCGATGCTCTGCCGGCTTCCTGAAGCTGTAGATTTAAAGTCCTGATGCCTACAAAGCCAAAAATGGACCAGCCCCCCGCTTTCTGATGGCAACGGCCAAAACTCGATCCGAATCTCAGGCCCTTCAAGCTACATGTGCTTCGAGACGCATGGAAAACAAGCATCAAAGCTCTTCTCTGTCCTGGAGAGCTGGTGGTAGAACGATCTTCCACAACAAGTCCCTCGTTGTCTTCGAGCTCAGCGCTCCCTCCAGAGAGAGAAACTCTCTCCCACAGAAACCACTTTTCTCAGATGCCTGAAACACCTCGTTGGAATTCCAGCCCTTTTCCTTTGATAAAAGATGACGGAGTTTGCAGCTGCTCAGGAGAGAAGGGTCTGTCTGCAGACTGCAGGACAGGGGCGGAACGTGGAGGGGCGAGAATAGAGTGGGCGAGCTGACCAATCAGAGCACGCTGGGCTCATCGGGAGGCGGGCTTAAAGACACAAGAGCTCTAACAGAGCGTTTCAGACAGAGTGTGAATAGAGATGTGCAGTATGAGGAAAACAATGTGTTTTTGGAACACTGAAGCTGTGGATCTATTCCGGTAGAGCCCAAAAATAAAAGGACGAACAATGAAAATGAGCTTTCTAGTTATCAGCTCTGGCTTTTGTTTTCTGGCAGCATTTGAGCTCGAGGGTAGTTTGGACTCTAACATTTCTGTACTAGCTAGGATATGTTCTCCGAGTGGACAACTCTGAATAATAGCATCTGCTCTGAATTTGCTGAGTAATCTTTGCAGCGCTGCCCTGCAGCAGAGATCTTAAACTCCAGCTGCTCTTTCCCTGATTTAACCCTTCAGTTGTTTACCGAACTCTCTCTTACCTTCCTCAAATCCGTCTCTAAATGAAGCGGAGCGGCTCATGGTTCGTGTTTTCTCGTCCAGAGACATGCAGGAGTTCCGCAAACGGGTGTCTCCGCAGACGTCCAGCACGCTGTCCTGATTGGTTACGCTGTTGTTGCGCAGGCTGGCCAGGTTTATCTGCGCCGCTGTGGTGGGACTGGCTGCAAACATAATGAAAAACATGTACACTTTAAAGCAAATTGCAGTTCTTCTGTAAATCTATATTTGCGCTTTAGGCTGTTCTGACAAAAGTAAGGACAGTTAAAAGGGAACTCCAGTGATGTTTCAAAATTTCTGCATAATTAAATGACTAAGATGTAAACAGAGTCGTTTAGGGTGGTTTGGTGTGAAATGCTTCATTCTAGAGAAACTTACTGAGTCAGAATTATTCACAGTGGTGGTGATAAGAACCAGATGTCCACCTCTAAAAGCTTCCTCACAGAAAGTTATTACATGAAATGGTTATGAATAAACTGACTGATGGCTGAGACATTGTTTTATGATAGTTTTGAGAAATTAAACTCCATTCATGGTGGAGGGATACATGCAGGGTGCTGTAAGGCAAAATAGTCTCAAAAGAAAACGTATTATTTCAGATTTTCACTATGTTTCCATCATCAACATTCCATATAAAACTCAGAAGACACGTGTAGGTTCACTGGTGGTAGGGCTGGGCGATTAATCGAAAAGTAATCAAAACCGACATTCAGAACCTCTAACCAACGTAATCTTGCTCATGTTGGTTATTTAGATTTTTTTTTAATTTTGCTAATTCTTTCCCCACTCTGTATGTTCATATACTGTCCCCTTAAAACCTACTGCCACTCTGTGACATGGATGCTAAGGCTATGTTCACACAGCAGGTAAAAGTGGCCCAAATCTGATTTTCTCACCAAATCAGATTTTTTTGTTTGGCTGTTCACATTATCTTTTAAATGTGACCTGTATGCAACATTAGTCTGAACACATCACACTCCTAAACTGACCCACATGCACAAAAGAACAACACATCACGTTGCTTCACGTGGCTCAACCAGAGGTAAACAATCATGACTATGAACAAACGCCAGTCACTCCCGGAGCTTTCAGTTTCATCTTCGCCAGCATCACAGGAGCCATCATGAAGCTTCACTGACTGACAGCTGGGCTCATCACTCAGGATGTGTTTGAACTGGTCATAAAAAGGGGCGCGGTAACTTCTTTGGTTCATGTCCTTGGATTCTTTAAACTTGCTTTCAGACTTTTAATTGTTGTTTGACGCAGCAGCCTCGTTTTCCTATGGCCGTGTTCGCCCATTTTTATGAACTATGAGGGCAAAACACAAAACAAAAAAATAAAACAAAACAATAAACAATAAAAATAAACAATAAACAAAAAATAATCATTCATTAATTGTAATCGAGGTAAAACATTCAATTATTTGTGATATTGATTTGAGGTCATATCACCCAGCACTAACTGGTGGTTTTGGATAGTAAATAAAATGTATATATTTGTGTTGTAGTCATGGCGACCCCTGGTTCCTGTCACCACCACTGTAAAGAAATCTGAACAAATTCACACAAAACCACTCTGAATTACTCTGTTTACATCTCACACACTCAATAATGAAGCTATGAAGCTAATGAAACTACTTTGAAAAATGGGTGGAGTTCCCCTTTAGGTCCTCTGAAAGCTGATTTGTGATCAGTGTGTGGTGTTCTGTGCAGGTTTGTACCGAGCTGAGTGAAGTTGAAGCGTGTTCCGGAGGGCGAGGTCAGGCTGGAGCCGGTGGAAAATGGAGAGTTACAGGCCGAATCCTGCAGGCCGCTGGTGGAGTGAGAGCGCAGCCAATCACGAGCCTCCTCCTGACGCAGCTGCGCTGAGGGGGTGTACCTACAGAAGACACATCACACACCTACCAATCAGAATCAATATAATATCAGTGCTTAATACAGACTAATATTAAATTGAATTTTAAATTATTCATTCACAGTAAAACTCTCAGTGACTGTTCAGTAACTCTCGTATTGCCAAATATTAAGCAGTGCCATCAGTTAACACAGACGAGCAGTTTGTTTAAACTGAAACCGCAGGAGGAGCAGATGTGACACAATAAAACAAAACACAAAGTGCTACAGTGAATAATGTGCCGCTACATTGACCCCCATTATGCACACGCACACACACAAGCCTCGCAATAGTGCAAAAAAGTGCACAGAAGCAAAAACAGTGCTCAGAGATAACAACATATAGCAGAGCATGTACTGCCAATACAGAGTGAGTGAGAGAGAGAGAGAGAGAGGAGTGAGCAAAGCAAGAAAGAAAGAGGACAAAAGAGGCAGAGAAAAAGAGAGGGATGGAAAGAAAGAAAGAAAGAAAGAAAGAAAGAAAGAAAGACAAAAAGGGAAGAAAAGAAAGAAAGAAAGAAAGAAAGAAAGAAAGAAAGAAAGGAAAGAGAGAAAAGAGAAATAGATTAGCATTAGCAGGTGCTAACAGCAGTCCTGTACCTGAGGCCCTTCTTAGGCAGCGTGTTCCTATCACTGTAGGAGTCGCTGAGAGAGGGACGGACAGACGGACGGATGATAGAGGGATTGGAAAAGAGAAGGAAGGTAAAGGAGGGGTGGGGTCTGTCATTATATTTAATTTCTAATATCTACATTATTATTATATCTTTGATTTATTTATTTTTTTTACAGCCAAAAATCACATTTCACCAAATGCAGTTTATCAGCCAAGATGTGTTTGGTATAAGAAGCTTCTATAGTGTTAGCACTAGAACTACAAAGCTAATGTAGCTAACAAGTAATGGAAACTTCCTATCAATTAGCATGGTGCTAACTGCATCAGCTATCTTCCTCAGACTGTGTGGAGATGTTCATTAATCTCTAATAGGCTTGATTACGTGGTTTCAGACACTGTATGACTCACTGTTACCTATAACCATGGACTAAAGTACATTAGCATAGCTAAACACAGTAGTAGTGTCCGTTTGTAAACAACAGTAAGAAGCAAACTTTAGATGCTAAACGCATCTCCGCTGATCAGCCACATTCAGCGTAAGTGGGAAATTGTGTACATCTGATTTTGAGCTTTAAGGAAAAATCAACCACCAGGTGGTGCCAGAAGAGCAACAGTGCAAGAACAAAGAAACTGCAACCACTCTCATGCGTGCGCACACACACAAGACACAGGAGTGTTAGTTAGCAGTGGCTTAGCACACAGACACCTTTACCTGTCCTGTTTCCGAGGCAAGGTGTTGCGGCTGAATTTTGGACTAGCGGAGGGGGAAGAGAGGGGACTGTAGGAGAGAAACGGAAGGATAGGAGGAGAAGAGTGGGGGAATGATGCGGGGAAAAAGTAGAAGACAAATGGAAAATTATTGTAAACAAGAGAGACTCATGTTTCATTCCTAAAAGCCTATACACTAACTGGCCACTTTATTAGAAACACTCACTTGTGCTTCCACTGACTGGCCACTTTATTAGAAACACCTACCTTGTGCTTCTACTAACTGGCCACTTCATTAGAAACACGCACCTTGTGCTTCAACTAACTGGCCACTTTATTAGAAACACTCACCTTGTACTTCCTCTCACTGACCACTTTATTAGAAACACATACCTTGTGCTTGCACTAATTGGCCACTTTATTAGCAACACCAACCTTGCGTTGCTACTCACTGGCCACCTTATTAGAAACACCTACCTTTATGTTAGATCTACATAATTTCATGAACTGAATACTGCTGAGCTATTGTAGAAATAATGTAGGGTAATTTGCACTTAAAGTGGTTAGGCAGTTAACCGTGCAGTATAAGAAATATACACACCGACGGAAAGGAAAGGCAAGGAAAGACAACACAAAGAGGGTGAGTAAAACAAGTAAAAGAATATGCAAATAGACAATGGCATGAGCCAATGGGAAAAATATTAAATTTTACTCAACAAGACTGCATTGACCAAACAAACACTTATAAAGTAAATCAAAAAACTTACTTAAGGCAACACTATGTAAGAATTGGGGATTTAGAAAATATGTAATTACACACACAACGTGCAAAAGAACACTTGTAATGTCAGTTGTGCTTCAGACCCACACAGGCAGATTAATCTGTCTTTTGCGAGTGCACTGAAAGAGTGTTTGAAGATAAAACTTGGTGAAGGAGCGTCTTCTGAGGACGCGAGTGAATTATCTACTAGTATCATCATATCTTCATCGATATAATGTTGATTATACTGTTAATGTTTGAGATTATTTGAGGCCTAAACATCGAGCCGGACCTTCTTTTAGAGTCTGTGTGTGACGTTAATTTGTAAAGATGTACGACGTGGTGTGAAAAATTTGACGCCTTTTAAATGATTATTTCAGGCTTTACAGGGCCTAATAGAGAGCCCCATTCATGGTGGAGGGATACATGCAGGGTACATGCAGCAGCAACGCTCACCATATTTTAGTGTGTTCTTTTTTCTCCACTCAGTAATGACACTTCTTTCAGTTTTAACAAAAAATATTACACAGAGCTGCTTTAGTTTCATTGAAAGAACAGAACAACAACAGAACAATTTAATTTTTTCTTTGTACAGTCTCTGTTCAAGGTGGAGCTATGAGAGAGGGGTTTCTGATAAAGTGGCCAGATAGAGAGAGAGCGAGCCATATTGTGTCTCAGGATCAAGTTAACAACAACAAACGCCGACCAAACTATGCATGAACCAGCAGAACATCTAAAGCCCCCCTCACCTCTCCGTCTTGGCACTGCCGGTCCGTGTGAGCACCGGGTGAGCGTCGTCACGGTGATGCCCGCTGCTCACCGACATGTCTATGGACTCGCTGCTAGTGTGCAGGCTGCTGACGGAGGGGTAGCCCAGTGCGGACGAGCTGCTGATGGTGGTCCCCCAGGTCCCCGTCCCTGAGTACACCGACCCCGGGCTGGACGCCTGCTCGCTGCCCCCACTGGAGTCCAGGGGCCCGCCGGAGGGCAGGGTCTGGTGCCCGAGCGTGGCATGAGGGTTGGAGATGACCACAGAGTTCTTCAGGCTCTCAGCTGTGGTCACAGGGGCCTGCTTAGCCTTTCCACCGAAGAGTCTGCAAACGAAGCAATATGCTACATTCAGAATCAGATTTGTTGACCATGTAAGCCTTTTTTCAAAGAATATAAAAAAGTTAATTATTTAAGATGTATTTTCTGCTCTATATACTGTCTGCATGGAGCACTATGAGTAAAATATCCTTAAAGGGGCCATATTCTGCATTTCTACATTTTGTTTGAGGTGCACTTATAGTGCTCATTTAGTGTTTCGTCATAGTATGTCTAATATGTATCATAATTAATTGTAATTTTCTATTCCATTACTTATCATTTTCCAACAGACTGTTTTTGTTACCATGTCTTTAAGACTGATATATGTAAATGAGCTATGTTCTGATTGGCTGCCCTGTTTGCGAATCATTCAAAAAGCAGTCCAGGCTAAAACACTCCCTATTAGTTCAGTCTGAGTGGGCAGGGCTAAACTGCTATTGGCTGAATGAGCAGGGTTAAACTGCTGTAGAATAGTGGGCCGGGCTAAACTGCTGTAGGCTGAATGGGTGGAGCTAAACTGCTATAGGCCGAACGGGTGGAGCTAAACTGCTATAGGGCGAATGGGTGGAGCTAAACTGCTGTAGGCTAAATGGGTGGAGCTAAACTGCTGTAGGCTGAAAGGGTGGGGTTAAACTGCAGTTGGCTGAAAGGGTGGGGCTAAACAGCTGTAGACTGAATGGGCAATTAAACTGTTTGTATTACAGACATAAAAGCAAAGTCTTTAAAAGCAGCTCTGAAGGAGTATTAAGGCTGAGTGTGAGTGATTCATGGCCTTTTCTGGTGGCATCAAACCTCAAGATTAACCAGAATCTACAGATCAGCCAATAAAATGTTTGTTAGCATATTTCACTTTAAAGTTACTCTTATTCCACTTTCTGTTGGAGTGAACGTCCAGCTTTTCAGAGCTTAGACCCTTAAACCCCAGTGGATGAACGCTGAGTGAGATTAAAGCGCAGAACAGGTGTGATGTGTTTCAGAGTCATGACCTCATCACAAAGTGACAGGTAAAGAGCGTGATCAGAGGAGGAACATCTAAAAGTGAAGACAAACACATCCCTTCTTCTACTCATCCATCTAGCATTAACTAAACACCTGACAAACCCAGACAGAGGAATCTCCACAAGATAAATGGAACTCAATTAAGGAAGTTTCAAAACAAAAGAGACGAGAACAAACATGTGGCTGAACAAAAGTAAACAAGAAGATCTAGACTGGTTAAAGCTTTGAAAGAGGCCTGGGCAAATACAATTCCAATAATAATGATAAAAATCTAATTTTATATTGATAATGCATTTTCCATTCAGTGACTGCGCTGTGATGTTTCTTAATCTGATATTAAAGGGTGCACTAGGTGGCACTGTGTATTTTTTACTCTACAGACGTGTAGGGAAAAGAAGTCTACAGGATCACTTTCAATAGCGCATATTTGTGGGTCAGCTATTTTCAGCTAGCAGAGTTAGCTAGCATTCGCTACATTTAGTGAGCAGAGTTAGCTAGCACTGGATATTTTCAGTTAGCCACTATCTAGTATCAACTATTTTCAATTAGCAGAGTTAGCAAGAATAAGCTGTTCTTAGTTAGCAAAATTAGACAGCATTAGTTTATTTCAGTTACCAGAGTTAGGTAGCATTAGCTATTTTCAATTAGCTGTTAGTTACAGTTGACTATTGTTTGTTAGCAGAATTAACTACAGTTAGCAATTTTTAGTTAGCAGTGAGCAGCTAGTAGGGCTGTAACAATACACATTTTTTCAGGTTTCATGTGATTTTTGGTTCTGAGGTCAAGATTGTTTTTTGCAAACAACATAATTCTCAAATATCACAACTCCCAGAATTTATCGGCAATTAAAATATTATTCCAATAAAAATGCTGATATGGAATGATATCGGAAAACAAATATATTTAGATATTTGTTCATATCACTCAGCAGTGAGTGTGTGTTTACCTGCGCAGTGTAGGTGAGGACACCTCTGTGTATTTGCCCTGTCTCGCCGTCTGTGGAATAGTCGCCGCCCCTCCACTCGACCCAATCGGACTAGCTCTCAGGCTGTCCGTCTCTGAAGCTCCGCCCTTCTCCTTGTCCGTCTGGTTGGCAGGTGTTAAGCTCCCATTGGTCTTCGGTGCGGGTTCTCGAGTCTTATTGGCTGTGACGGCGGCTAGGGCAGGGGCTCGTGTGCACAGTCCTGATTCGATGCTGCTGGTGGAGGAGCGGTTGCCATGGTGAGTGGCAGAACCGGAGCGGGATGGCCGAGGGAGGCTGCGGTACTGCAACGTTGACCTGGCGGCTAAGTATCCGTCCTCTTGGGTTACCAGAGTGCCCTCTGGCGCCCCCTTCAGTCCAGACCTCTCTTTGCCTGCCCCAACCACCAGTGCGGCAGATTTGGGGATCTTTCCCAGGGTGGCTGAGCCGCTGGTGATGGTTGCCCCACTGGCTGTCACCATGGCGATGCCAGAGGTGGTTACTGTGGTGACGGAGGCTGGCCCAGAGGAGCCAGGTTTCTTGAAGCCGAAGGAGCTGCTGCTGGTGGGCACACGGGTGGAGGATGAGGGGGCGGAGTCAGAGTGGGTAGAGGGGGTGGAGTCAGAGCTGTTCCGGCCTGCATCAGAGGGAGAACAATTGACTCCGCTGGGCCGCGGAGACAGATGGCCTTTCTCTGAGACTTTAGCATCATCTGTTTTAGCTAAAACAGAAGAACAGTAGAGGAGGAGATACAGAACAAATGATCAATAATCCATAGACTGCCAGTTCCAGTCCGGATGCTCTGCACATTTTTAGTTTTCTTTGCTATAACACCTTAACCCCACTCATTAAAGGCTTGATAACACTGCACCACTCTAGCACCACTTAAAACAATTAATTACTTAAAACAAATTACTTCTGACTCATATGCCACTAAAACAAGTTGAGAAGTTGTGTAAAAAAGGGAAAATTTGAAACTTTTGATCCATTTTGTAGGAAGAAAAACTGAATGTCAATTTTTCACTGTCAATTTTGTCACTGTAATTGCCTTTAATTATACAGCGTAAACGCACAGCTTCTAGGGTTAAAGAATGCTAGGATTAAACAGAATGGTCAACAGATACTAAAACATTACTGATGGTTACCAGTTTTTATTTATCAGTATTACTGTGCTGAACTCGAAGTGATCACCCTCACCTGTCCCATGTGTTTTCAGTATCCCCGTTCCTGTGGTAACAGTGGTACTTTTCTTCCTAGGCGTGGTCACGCCCACCTGTGTGCTCATGCCCCTCCTCCAGGAGCCGGTCTGTGAGATGGACACACCCTTCCTCCCAGAGCCACCCTTATCCGACTCGTCTGACACGTCTGAAGGGTTCCGTCGCCACTTTGAGCCGGACTCCATCTTCACTCCACTGTCCGAGCCGCCGTCTGACCTTTTGACCTCGTCGCCCGACCAGGTGGAGTTATGTTCGACCGACGAGTGTTTCTCCGCGTCAGTTTTAGGCTGTGCATAAAAACAACAAAAAAACACTCGGATTCTGCGTCCTGGATTATAGGACAGGTTTATATTTTGGGGTTTTTGCCACATCAATGCTGTTACAGACAAAAGTCATCAATAATGAAAGGATTCTCTGCTTGTGAGTTAAAACGGGTGTGTTAGAGCACTTTCTCAAAGGGGCCGTTCCTCACCAGAAGCCAGTTTAGGGCTTTTGAATCCAAAACTGTGCCGGAGTCAGAGATTTTGGAGAAAAATGACTGAATGTGAGGCTCAGCCCGTTGCAATACATCCACCAACAGCTATAAATCCATCAACAGGAGAACAGAACAGCAAAAATTCCACAAATAGGAGAACAAAATAGCTAAAAATCTACCAATATGAGAAGAGAATAGCTAAAAATCCACCAATATGAGAAGACAACAGCTAAAAATCCACCAATATGAGAACAGAATAGCTAAAAATCCACCGAGAAGAGAACAGAATAGCTAAAAATCCACCAACAGCAGAACAGAATAGCTAAAACTCCATCAACAGAAAAACAGAATAGCCAAAAATCTACCAATATAAGAACAGAATAGCTAATAATCCACCAACAGGAGAACAGAATAGCTAAAAATATACCAATAGGACAACAGAAAAGCTAAAAATCTACCAATATGACAACAGAATAGCTAAAAATCCACCAATATGAGAACAGAATAGCCAAAAATCTACCAACAGGAGAACAGAATAGCTAAAAATATACCAATATGAGAACAGAATTGCTAAAAATCTACCAACATGACAACAGAATAGCTAATAATCCACCAATATAAGAACAGAACAGCTAATAATCCACCAACTGGAGAACAGAATAGCTAAAAATCTACCAACAGGAGAACAGAATAGCTAAAAATCTACCAATAGGAGAACAGAATAGCTAAAAATCTACCAATATGAGAACAGAATAGCTAAAAATCGACCAATATGAGAACAGAACAGCTAAAAATCCACCAATATGAGAAGAGAACAGCTAAAAATCGACCGATATGAGAAGAGAACAGCTAAAAAATCCACCAATATGAGAACAGAATAGTTAAAAATCCACCAAGAAGAGAACAGAATAGCTAAAAATTCACTAATAGGAGAACAGAACAGCTATAAATCCAGCCAATAAGAGAACAGAATAGCTAAAAATCCACCAACAGCAGAACAGAATAGCTAAAAATCCACCAAAAGGAGAGCAGAAAAGCTAAAAATCTACCAATATGAGAACAGAACAGCTAATAATCCACCAACAGGACAACAGAATAGCTAAAACCCTACCAATGGGAGAACAGAATAGCTAAAAATCTGCCAACAGGAGAACAGAATAGCTAAAAGTATACCAATATGAGAACAGAATTGCTAAAAATCCACCAATATGACAACAGAATAGCTAATAATCCACCAATATGAGAGCAAAACAGCTAATAATCCACCAACAGGAAAACAGAATAGCTAAAAATCTACCAATAGGAGAAGAGAATAGCTAAAAATCTACCAACAGGTAGAGCTGGGCGATATGGCCAAAAATGTTATCACGACAAACAAAATTCATATCATTCGATATCGATACATACCGCGATAAATGTCAAATCATTATTTCTTTCAAGTTTGAAGGCTGATTTTTGCTCCTGGGTGGTTAATTGCTGTTTTAAACTATCCTTTATGGTGGGAACATGACAAACACTCACCAAACAGTGGAACATTTCACAAATCTGTCATGGGAGAGTGGGAGAAAGTGTCTGCTGAGCTGTTTTTATCAGCTGGAAAAGCATGGCTATTTTGTAATAGTCATAATTTAAGAAAGAAAACAGATTATTTTGAGCTGGTGACGAGCGCTCAGCTATCCCGCTACAAATGACATCACAGTATTCAAACACCAGCTAGCGACGACTGGATATTCAATTGTGGTAGTTTAAGTGGTGAACCGCAAAATATGAACACTAGACAAACAGAGTCCTCCTTTTAGGTATGTTTAAACTGAAAGCGGTGCTTTTGTGTTGTGTTTGATCTACAGTATCATCAATTCCCCGTGTTTTGGAGTGACAGAGCGCTGCTTCAAGTTAGCCAGCTGCTAAAAACAGCTAGCCTGGAAAGATGGAGCTCTCCTGCTCTTCAATGCCTCACAGCTTCCTCAGTTTACTTTCATTTAAATCGGAGCTGTAATTTACATGAACCCACTTCTTCCTTTCACTTTCGTTGCTTGGGAATGCACTAATATTAAAATATGACTGCCCGAGCTCTGCAACAGCGCTTTAGTTGTGAGGATTGTGATTTAACACTGCTAAAGCTGGTTAGGATGTACAGAAAGAGATGAGTTCGCTGTAGGTCAGTAGAGTTACACCACTGACCTCGTCACTCACGCTCGGTCACAGGAGAACAGATCGCCGGTCGCTCCACTCAAAGAGGGAATGTGTAACTCCGCGTTTCAGCCGTTGCTAAAGACTCATCTTACTCGTGGCCCCCTCCCTCACTAATCATGTAGAAAAACTCGGAAGTGCACCCTCTCCTGGCGACAGCAGAGTAGTGTCGCCTTCCTTGCAGTAGAAAACGCCTCCAAGGCTTTCGCTGAACGTGGGAGTATGAGAATGGTGTATTATATCCAACATTTATCGAACATGTCGTATCGCTCTATCATAGAAAAGTTAAATCGTGATAATTATTGTTATCGTTTTATCACCCAGCCCTACCAACAGGTGAACAGAATAGCTAAAAATCTACCAATATGACAACAGAAAAGCTAAAAGTCTACCAATAGGAGAACAGAATAGCTAATAATCCACCAATATGAGAACAGAACAGCTAATAATCCACCAACAGGAGAAAAGAATAGCTAAAAATCTACCAATAGGAGAACAGAATAGCTAAAAATCTGCCAAAAGGAGAACAGAATAGCTATAAATCTACCAATAAGAGAACAGAATAGCTAAAAATCTACCAATATGACAACAGAAAAGCTAAACGTCTACCAATAGGAGAACAGAATAGCTAATAATCCACCAATATGAGAACAGAACAACTAAAATTGAACCAATAGGAGAACAGTATGGTTAGAAATTCACCAACAGGTAAATGAAACAGCTACAACTTCACCAATAGTAGAATAGTATGTCTAAAAATCCACCAGTGGAAGAACAGAACAGCTAAAAATCCATGAACAGGAGAGCAGAACAGCTAAAATTGCACCAACAGAATGGAACAGCTAAAAATCCACCAACGGGACACGAGCACTTAAAATGAAAACCACGAAATGCCTGAAAATCAAACCAGTTTACTATATTTTGCTTTACAAATAATGAATAAACAATTAATTATTAATCACATTATTATTATTATGTGGTTTTAATTCTTTGTTTTAAACCATATCCACGACGATGCTTCCAAGATCTGTGGTGATGCAGTTTTAAATGTAATATTTATATTCAGTGAGATGATGAAACAGCAGCTGTTTTAACATATGTTTAAATGGTGATAATGTTTTTGGTGAGTGTAAGTGAGTAACGGTCTGAGTTGACCATCGTCAGCAGTCCTCTGAGGGGGTCTTTGTTACTCAGGGTAACTATATCCATGGAGACACATGCCTTTAATATGGCATGAGGTCAAAGGTCACCATTAAGTGGACAAACGCAGTCCTTGTGTGTGTTCTGTCTTCCTCCTGCTCGGGTTTTCTCATATCGCTCTGCAGTGCAGTTAAAGTGTTTATGCTGTTCAGGTTAACTTTGTGTTTATTAGTGTGGAATTCAGCTTAAACTGAGGTGCTTCCTAAAGCAGGGTGTCTGTTCTAGGGGGCAGGAGGGGGGCAGTCAGCTGAGTCTGAATGACCTCAGGTCTGTTCAAATATTAACTTTGGTTTCTATGGAGGCAATAGATTCACCATCCATTCAGTGTTTAGAGAGGGGGGCACTGGCTCTGATTTTAAAGTGATAGTTTAGTAAAAATCAGATTTATCCGGTTTCCTGTTACCCCGAAATGTAGCTGATCAGCCGAGGCATGCTGGGTGCCTAGATCTCACTTATTTAACAATGCTAACTGTGGTTCTAGATATATTAGCTTTGATGCTGCAGAGCAAAACTAAAGAACCAGATTTTTGATCTATGCAACATCAGAAAAAAATATTCATTGTTTTAACTTAAAAAAAAGTTAGTAACCTGGTTGCTTTAAAAATTTAAGTTCACTGAATTTGAAATAATAAATGAACAAAATGTAATGTTTTTGTGCTATATAGAACCATTTTCAAAAAAGTTCTATACAGAACCATATACAACACATTCTCTATCTAACCATTTAAGCATGAAATGGTTCTCTGAGTGTTCATGGCTCTACATAGAACCACTGTCTTTACTAAAAACCCTTGAAGAACCATCTTTTTAAGAGCATATTATAGAAAAATTTTACGTTTTATATTCATTTTATTTTACCAACTTTACCAACAATTTTAGATCTAAAGCTCTGTTTATTATTCTGGACATATTTATTGATTGATTTCATTGATTTATTGATTCCAAACTCCTGAACACTAGTGAAGAAAGGCGAGAACAAAGCTAACAACTTCTACAGCTTCGATAAATGTGCACTTATCCTGATTTCTGCCCTGATATTTTTGTTCCGTCACTGTTTTGGTTTAAGTTCAGACCTAATTAAACAAATTTTCCCTTTATTTCTTTTCCTTCTATTATAGGAAGGTGTCTGTCCACATTAAACAGAAGGAATCTCGTGGCTGGCCAACATTAACAGAGCCAACATGAAGAACGAGCCTGACTCCTGAGAGAATTAACGGCCTGGCTGGTCTAGACTCGGCGCTATGTTTAACATCTAATGAAGTTTAATGACAGGTTTAGATATTAAACCACATGCAGACGTTTATTCCTCAGGCTAATGGATGTTTAGGCTTTTAAAGGTTTTATTTCACTCAGAAACATCAGCACTGCTCATGAACCAGGGCCAGTTAGCTTCATCCCACTGGCTTTGTTTCATCATGAACATCACTGGTGCTCCATTTTGGCTGTGAATTTCTCTTTAAAGAGTGAAAACGTCTGCTTGAGCAATAAGGGAAACTGTTAGCCTAGCTTAGCTGCAGGAATTTTATCTGAAGGATGTACCTTTAACAGCTCATCATGAGCTCCTCAATACCTGCTGCGCTAGTTCCTCACCTGGCCGTTGAGGTGTTTGCGTGGAGCTGCAGGTGTGTTGGCATAGGAGCTGATGGAGGAGCTGGTGTTGATGTCATCGGTGTCGATTGTATCACTGATTCCACTACTGACTGAACTACTGTCATCCCAACTGAGAGACACAGAGAGACACAGAGAGAGAGAGAGAGAGAGAGAGAGAGAGAGAGAGAGAGGAGAAGGAGAAGAAAGATTAAAGACACATGCACACATTCACGGCTCTGTGTTTTACTAGGGCTGAACGATTAATTATTTTTATATTGAAAATCTTCAAAGAGTGCAGTGTTCAAACTGCAAAAGCAAAGTTTTAATCGATCAGATGCAACCAAATACCCACATGCTGTAAACATGACATCACAACCACGACTAACAGGAAGGCTGGAACACCACGTTCAGCTTTAAAACATTTCGCCCAAATCATTCAGCCCTATGTGTCACCAATGAACAATAAACAATATAGATAGTAGCTTTAGAAACCTCAGTAGAAGAAGAGGACAGAGAAAAGTGAGAAAACAAGACAGAGAAGATGGAGGAAAAGAGACAGAGAAAAAGTAGAAGAAAATGGAGAAGTAGGAGAAGAAAAAAAAGGTTTGAGATCAAGAAGATTAAGAGGCAGAGAAAGAAGAACAACAATAAAAAGAAGAAGAAGATGGAGAAGCAGAAGAAGAACGAAGTAGAACAAGGAGAAAAAGAGTTGGAGACAAAAAGAAGACAGAGAAGATGGAGAACATCAGAAGAAGATGGAGGAGGAGAACAAAAGAAGGAGGAGGAAGAGAAAAAGGAAAAAAGAAGACAAAGGAGGAGAAGAAGAGAATAAGAACAAGATGGAGAACAATAAGAAGAAGAAGAAGAAGAAGAAGAAGAAGAGAAAAGAGGGAGAGGGAGAAGAAGAAGAAGGAGGAGGAGGAGGAGGACACAAAGAAGGAGAGAAATATTTGCTCAGAGCAGATTTAGCAGAACGTCAAGCTCCTCTGATGGAGGATCTGAATATATAAACTCCAGTTCAGCTCAGAGTCGCTGACACACAGAGGTCATTTAGAAAATCTGAATTTCCCATCAGACCCTCAGACTGTGGTCCTGAACAGTGAAGAGCAGATTAACGCTGAGTGTGATGGAGAAATCTGCTCATTAAAATGAATGAGCTCATAAATCTACAAGCCTCAGACTGCAGAGAGGCAGTTTAACAATAACGGAATACGAGAAGCTTAATAAAAAGTCTGGTATATAACATCTGCAAAAGTCTGGTATATAATATCTGCTATTATTATCATGATAAATTCAATCGAAACACTCTCTTTTTTGTATTTCGTGCCCGCAGATGCACGGTGACGTCATCAAAAAATCAGAGGATGTTCACACTAGATCTTTTTTCCGGATCCAGGTCTGCTTGCTCTGTGAGTTTGGTACGTTTGCTCCAGTGTGGCTCGCTGCTCTCGAGCCAGAGAACAGAGAACCGATCTCTAGTCCTCCAGAAATCGGTGGGCTAGGGGAACCCTGACTAATATTGCGAATGCAACTTAAATTGTGATTGTTTTCAATAAATTAAGGTTCAGACCTGTTTTTTTGCCAAGAAGACCAGAATATCCATTTTTTTGGCTTGAGGCTTGACCACTTAGTGCAGTCAGCCAGATTGCCAGTCAGTTGTGTTTGTGATGTCACAACACATGGGGCTCAAGTGGCCTCTGATTGGTCTAACTCATGGATGTAAAGGCAGTTTACAAACTCTGTGTTAGTAGGTTAAATTTCCCCACTTAAAACTTAAGACAACATTTTTGAAAATGCAGGCTATCATTTTAAAAACTGCAGCTGCTGCGATGTGAAAATTGCACTCTGTTAAACTTCGATTTCGATGTAAAAACAACAAAAAAAATCTTTCAGTCCTAAGTGCTGGCCTCCATGGCTAAAAACCTTCTCATATGAGGACGGCTCCTTGTTTGAAGGCGCTCCGGCTCAGTGAAATGCAGCGTATTCAAAAAGTGCTGCTCTTCACCACTTGAGTGTTTGTGTCCAAGTAAAATAATAAAAAGCAGCAAACAGATGAAGCTGTGCCAACCATTCTGCAAAACTGCACGCAGAGAAGCGATGTAAGAAATTGCGCAGTTGATCCACAGTTCAGATGTGAAAGCAAACCAGCGATAATGAGCCCCTCACCCAAACTTGCCCAGAATCAGTTCTGGGTGCAGACTCGAGTATTCAGAACAAGCGTGAAAACTACAGAAATCCAAAGAGACCATGAGGCAGTTATAACTTTCTGAATTGTTATCCTGAGCTCATGACTTAATTATCTTGTGATCTTAAGACAACAAAAGTTGTGATCTCAAGATCACAAGATAATCAAGTCATGATCTCAAAATAACAACTTAACAGTCTTGTGATCTCAAGATAACAAAGTTGTTACCTTGAGATCACAACTTAATTGTCTTGTGATGTTGAGACAACAAAGGTTGTTATCTCACTAAGTCATGATCTCAAGATAACAACTGTCTTGTGATCTCAAGATAACAAAGTTGTTATCTTTAGATCACCACTTAATTGTCTTGTGATGTCGAGACAACAAAGGTTGTTATCTTGCCAAGTCATGATCTCAAGATAACAATCCAGAAAATTATAGCCACAGCTCATGGCCTCTCCAGACTTCCACAGAAAATGCCCTAACAGTCATTACTTTCAGAGGGAAGATTTCAGTAAAGCGAGAATTTAATCTTTTAAATCATTTTATATGATGAATTGTGCTTAATATGACTAAAAACATGAGCTAACAAGATAAACAAAGATCAGATTTCAGGGTGAATCTTTAAATATGTTCAGTATATTTTAACAGTACTGTGATGATTTTATCCTCTGAAATCATCCCATCCCCAGTGTCTGTTAGTCTGTTCATCTGTTTCTCTAGAGCTGAGAATACTCCCTTGTTCTCTCTGCACTTGTTATTAAACATCACTTCTGACACATGACATCATTTCCTCCACACTGAGATCAGAGGAAAGTGGGTAAGCGCTACCGCAGAAACCACTGGATTCACCACTGTCTGACTCCGCCCTGCCATCACTCACTCACATCTACACACACACACACAACCTCTCTGACCTTTCACCCTCCGTCACGCTGAACGGCTCAGAAAAGCGGACTGTCAGAGAGAGAAAGATGAAAGAAAAGAAACAGGCAACTTTAAACCCTTTGAGGCTGCAGCAGAGTGTATAAAGTTTCCTCCAGTAAAAGTGCTGTTACCGCAGTGGAGGCAAAAGTATCCTCCCAAGAAAACACAACTACAGCCGAACTACAAAAGTAACAGCTCAAAAACTACAACTCCTATGAGACTGTGTCCATAATCAGCAACATTAGCATGTTACACGCAACCTGACAGTGGATTTACACGGTGAAACCTCCAAGCAACTATAGTTTTTTTGATAGAAACCTATACACTCTTTAAAATGATGGTTCTTCAAGGATTCTTTAGCAAAGAAAATGGTTCTATAAAGAACCATGGACACTCAAAGAACCCTTTGCACGATTAAATGGTTCTCTGCATGGTAAAATGGTTCTTCAGATTGACGGAGAATGTGTTGTAGATGGTTCTGTATAGAATCTTTATGAAAATAGCTCTTTATAGCACCCAAAAAGGGATCTTCTATTGTTACAAGCTTGACATTGTAACAACAGAAGAACCCTTTTGGGTGCTGTATACAACCTTTTTCAAAAATGTTCTACACAGAACCACCTACAGCACATTCATGCACATTTTCCATCAATGTGAAGAACATTTTCACAATGCAATGAACCCTTTAAAAATGCAAAGGGTTCTTTGAGTGTTAATGGTTCTTTACAGAACCATTTTCTTTACTAAAGAACCCTTGAAGAACCAGTTTTTAAAGAGTGGATATGAGTGATATGTGATGAACTTGTTGTGCTTCTAGAACATGAGCGAGATATTAAGTACAATATAACTGTAAATACTTAAACACTAATTTTCAAATGCTTAACATACACAGAAGATTGAAATATATAGTAACTATAGATATAGGACAACCGAATGATAGTGAAGCTGAAAAAAGTATGTAAAGGTGATAAAAATGCTGCAAATATGTAAGTTACACCTTGCATAGTAATTTATAGCGAGAACGAGACAGTGGATCAGAAGTACAATCTATTAATTTGGCTAATTTTTAGAGCAATTGAATGTGTTGCATGCAACTTTGTTTCTGAATTACTTTGCGTGACTGTCAAGTTGCACAGAATTATTGCATGCAACTCACAACATGCAACTATGTATGACACAAACCTACAACCTACCTTGTTGGTCCACCTGGTAGATCTAGAGTCAGAGACGATAGCTCATCTGTTGCTGCACAGTTTGTGTCAGTCATCCTCTAGTCCTTCATCAGTGGTCACAGGACGCTGCTGGCTGGATGTTTTGGGTTCTCAGTCCAGCAGCGACACTGAGGTATTTAAAAACTCTAGCAGCACTGTTGTGTCTGATCTATTCGTGCCAGCACAGCACACATTAACACACCACCACCACGTCAGTGTTACTGCAGTGCTGAGAATGACCTACCACCCAAATACTTGCTATGTGGGGTCCTTTGGGGGTCCTGACCATTGAAGAGCAGGGTAACGAAGTATGCAGAGAAACAGATGGACTACAGTCTGTAACTGTAGAACTACAAAGTGAAACTATATGGTCAGTGGAGCTGATAAAGTGGACAGTGGAGAGGTGGTGTTAATGAAGTGTCTGATCGGTGTATTTCAAACAAAATTGACTTCCTTTTAAAGTTAAGAACGTTCACAGTACATAAAATATATAGAAAGGGTCACTGGAGCTTTTTTGCATGACAGTGACAAACATTTGCATGCAAATGTTTTGGCTCCATTGTTTTGTTGATTTTCTGAGTGTAATAAGTTAATACATTCCCTACAGAGACACACCTCTGCACATTTTAATACAACAATAAAACATAAAATGCGGCATGTGCAAAAGTCATGGCGAATGTTTTTTTTAAACACAAATAAAGAGAATAAATTGTGCCTTAAAATGTGCAGGAAAAAAACAATATTTAAGTGTGCTCTCTGTACACAGGTGTAAGAATTACACATGTACATTAAAAAAACAATTACACA